ATTACGAGTGTTTGCGACCATAAATACCATACCATTACTTGCCTGGAAGAGATCGCTCGAAAGTGATAAGGCCGCCAGTTGCTCTCATTTTTATTTAATTTTAATTATACTATATTTCTGTATACTTGAAACGAAGTGTTAATATATAAATAAATAAATCTTTGTATGTAGGGTGTAATGTTAGATACAACGTATATTGACAAGAGCTTTTCAGTGTTTATATGTATATAATATATATAGAATCTAAACATACAAAATATGTTGAAGAAATCAAAAAAACACGACACGAAGCAATAAATTAAAAGTTAATACATCAAACAAAGTAACGTACTTGCATTTAATCCTAAATTCTTTCACAATTGTTTTCGTAGAATAATTGTTTAATTATGGGAATATGTCAATGTATGCGTCCGAATAAACCTTACCTTATACGAAAACATGTAGTAACCAAATCATCTATTGGAAATTAAACCTTGTTCCATTGACTTAAGGATGTATGTTAAATGCGTCAAATACTTAAGGTTTCAATATGCCAAATATCTTTTGATTGTTAAATGACTCTTTTACTAGTGTGCTTCAGAACGATGACGCAGTGGCAGCTCTATTGAGAAGACATCTCTCTTTTCCATAACTCTCATAGCACTGAGACGTATTCAAAATAACCATTTGCGAGAGTAGGCGTAAGCGCATTATTTCGTCCCAATAGTTTCTATTCAATTTTAGTTTTTTACTGTTTGCTTGTGTCAAATTTTTCCTTGCTATATTAAGTAAGATTTTTTAAGCATACATTAGGACATCAATTAATTAATTTCGTCCCAAAATGGAATGTTAACACAGGAAATTATTAGAATCGGCAATGATAACTTATAATTTGGGACTGTCAAATAGAATTGTAGTGAATTGGTGATTCATAAACAAATACATTAGGGGTCAAGGCGTTTGCTTCGAGTGTGTTTTTCAATGTACACTAATCATAATTTACTCAAATTATTTCTCTGTAACAGTACAAACATACTGAGCAATATATCGTAGAAGTTTACTATATAATATGTTTTTATTAACTTAGACTGCACAATACTTCACTTAGGAATATATGACAGCATTTAGAAAAACGGCGTGTACATTAATATCTATATATTATTTATTTATGTTAAATTTTAAGGGTTATTTCACCATAAATATGATATTTGTTATATAGTATTAATAAGCAACTATGTCTCTAACAAATTTTTATTTGCAACATATATCTTAATATAGAGCTATTGTGGTTGCAGCTTTCGATTTTGTCATACAATATATCAAATGACCAAGATTCATACAAATATAGAATTTCACGTAAATTATCTTTAATAATAATAAAGCTATTTCTTTGAAATTTCAATTATAAAACTTGATAGTCGACGAAACCTTCATAATCTTATAGCTTAGTTAATCTGTTATCAGAATAAGAAATTTAACTATTCCAAGCACATACTTCCCAAGAAACTTGTCGAGATATCAAAGATCACGGATGAATCATGGCGGCTTGGGTAATAAAACGTTTTGAAAAACCTTCTGAGAAACGCGTTATGAGAATTATTTTAATCATCAGAACGCTGAGAATTTATCTGTGTGTCAAGCGTAATTCTAAAGTTTTTAAAATGTTCCATGTGACCAGTAAATAATAAAACATAGTTTTAATAGAAATAGCATTAATTGATCGAATGGTTAGTTAAAATTACCATTCCCCATCAAGCATAATAACAATGTATGCAATATTGCCTTGGAATTACGTGGTACGAAAGCATTTTTTAATGGTTTCTAGCTGGCTTTCACAGCTCAGCCGGCTGTTTTCGGAATAGGCTTTTTCTGCGACTAGCGCAAGGACGTCTTGAGCGAGATTCGGAACACGGCTTGGGCCGTCACGGGGTGGTCAGGTCACTGGAGTGAGCGAAAGCGTAAGAGACCTCGCCTACCCAGGTAAAGGTGGTTTTTTACCCTAATTTAACTTTGACTGGAAATGCTATTCATGTTAAGCCTCTTTTCGGGAAGGGCCTTTCTTGTCGGGAAGGGGGTAATAGTTGACGTCTTTACGCAACAACGAGTAGGGATAGTGGATTAGGCTTGTCGAAATGGCGTAGGGACGCCAACTTCATCCATTGGGCTGAAGTTGAGGTCTCCATCCATTCATCGGTAGAGATGAAAACATTGTAATCGGGTTCGCTCTTTAGGTAGGCTTTAGAGTGGCGGAGAGTTTATTGCCAGTTCTTCTCTTCCGTTCTACGCCCTTGATTTGAGAACTGGCAGTAAATGTAAAATTAGAAGCATTTCATTCCTATATATATATTATATATATATATTTTTTTTTAACGTTCATAAATGTACATTGTGTTACCTATATGAATAAATGATTTTGACGTGACTTGACTTGTAAAAGTTCTGTAAATTATTATTTAAGCCATTTTTTGACAGTCAAATGGGATCATTAATATCTTTTCTCAAATCGATATAATATTCACCGACGTTGTTATTTTGCGGAACAAAGGGACCGTAATGGCGCATCTAACAAATTAAAATGACAGCACAGGCCCGACATATTTTTACGTCCGTTTGATTAATAACTTGACGAGAAGAGCTAATATGAACCAAGCAGTGATTGTTCGACTCGAAACCACGATTAAATTCCAGTATGAGGCTTGAAACACGAATTATAAAAAATACAATACTTAACAAAATCAAGATACCAATAACACATGCAAAAGTATCGATCTACTGGTTGCAAGTTAAAAATTCATAAGAAGCCCACTGCAGTTAGTAGGAATATTAAATAAAAACCATAGTTTATTCAATAGAGCCGGCATTATGGAGTGCTTAAATTTTTAAATGCCACCTACGCTTTCCCAGAAGCCATATGGCTTTGTTAAAACAGAATACTAAGTGTTCTTTATTATATACATATAGAGACGAAATGTCGAATTCGGTTAAGAGCTAACATTCATACTAACCTTATGTGTTTAAAGAATTACGCACATTTTAGTAAAAAACATAATTTCAGTTGAACCGGAGTTGTTCGCTGCGTTTTGCTTTCTTTATCTAACTAATCAGGCATTATGTTCGTTAGATTGATTATTATTAGTACAATTAGAACGAGTAAAACCTTTTTTGTGTTTTTTTTTTTTATAAAATGGGGAAACAGGCAGGAGGCTCATCTGATGTTATGTGATACCGCCGTCCATAGACACTCACATTGCTAGAGGGCTCGCAAGCCGTTACCTTTTAAGAATTGCTACGCTCTTTTCTTGAAGGACCCTAACTCAAATTGGTTCGTAATAGGTTCAGTGGACAGCTGGTTCCACATAGTTGTGCTGCGCGGCCAAAAATTGCCTTAAAAACGCACAGTTGTGGAACGACGGACGTCGAGGTGATACGAATGGAATTTCGTATTCTGCCTCGACGTCCGATGATAACTGTTCAACTCTGAACACTCTCCGAGGTAAATGTGGCAGAGGATATTTTATTACAAAAACTATTAAAAGTTACCAGAATCATAATGAATCTGACACATGTCAACAACATTTTTAATAGCTAGCAACACTACAAATTCGGTTCACATAGAAATCGAATATAATTAAAGCCGATAGATGGCGCTTGTAATTCGTGTAAATTATTGTACTATGTTATGCAAATGTAGTAATACTATTGATTCTAAGCAAAATACATTACATCGTCCTCTCCGATTTGAATTTAAACCGGTTCGTGATATAAATACATGCATAGATTTGAATTACTTGTGTTGCATATTTCAATGACATTAGCATGATAAAATTGCAACGCGTATAAAACTTGGATCGACCCAACTTCAATATTGCATTCTTTATCGTTCTTTTATTCACGAATCTGGCATTTCTTGTTTCGTAACCAGTTACTCTAATGATGCCAGCAAGTTGCTTTTAATATAGTCAGGGTTTGGGTACAAAATGTCGGTATTCTGATCCAATAATGGCTTTGAGACATGTTCTATTATACTTTGACCTATTTCGACCTATAGTGTACAGGAAATTCAGGTTTCGCAATGTTGTAGTTGAATTTAATGTCAGTCTGTACCCTCGATACATTGGACCAATTAAAGTTGCTTTGTTTATAAAATATGCAAAATTATACTGCAACAATTTAATACTTAATACGTTTAGTTTCGTTACCAACCATCATCAAGCGTAGGAAATATTCGCCTGATTCATACTTTGTTGCTTCATTAAGTGGGTGGATCCACTTAGATCGAAGGTAAGATAGTAGATTGTGGGAATCGTACATAGGTATCGTAATTTATCGAGTAGATTACCAATTTAGGCCGCAATACGGTCGTGTCGAAATCACAATGGATCTAACTATTTTTAGGTCGCGTGTTCCATAAATTTTATTTCTCGAGCGCATTAAGACCAAATGCGGCGTTGTGACCGCTGCCCGACCTCATAAGACCACAAACGAGCAGCAATCATCTCGTGAGATAAGCGTAAATGAATATGAAACGTCCTCCCACGCCCGAAATAATAACTCGAACTCGCTCGACCCCATGCACATAAAACAGGCAATTAATATGGTTTATTCGCATCCGTCTGCGGGACACGGCTCAGCTCTCATGAGCCTACGTGGACCGCAAACTAAAGCCGGTTGTATAATTCCCTATATAACGGCACATCCAGTTATGGTAATGTTAGCCGAATTTCACGAGAACGACGTAGTTAGTAGTTTCGAAAGTAGACATTCTGATCGCACCCAAATTTGTATAAATACGACGCAATATGACCAACACTAGCACTGATTAATACTATTATTCCAACTTCCTACTACACCGAACTTAACATTTCGCTTTAACCAGTTTTGTGGTTCAGTTTTTCCTAACCATACTGGAATTCGATGGCCTTTTCCGAAGCCCTAATCTTGACGCATGAATAATTTCCGAGAGCTATCGATCGCACACGTCGAGGTTTTTATTTATACGGCGCGGGTGGGCGAGGCGCGTATTAGTAAACAGGCGCAGGCGCGGTTTGACACTCACCGACTTGGAGGACGTTCTCGACACAGCCGGCTTCCAGCAGCTTGAGACCGCGGCAGAAGGCGATGTTCCTGTGGTCGTCAGGTGGAGCACGGGCCAGCGAGGAATACATACAGATGTCCCGCTCGTCTCTGGGGAAGGACCAGTAGACGACGCGGCGTTGCACAGGTTCCGGTATACGTTCATAGCGCTCTTCGATGCGCTGAAAGGGTATAGAAGCGGCGACTATCTTTGCGGTGATGTCGAGAAGGGTAGCTGGGGCGCGCGGCCGGCAGCACGCGCGCGGCGCACACGTAGACATGGCGCTTGCTCGGCCGCCCAGCGCGGACTGACGCCCTCCGATCCCCGCGCCTTGCTCCGCCCGCACGCCTCACCCCCGGGGGATGTACGCCCCGGATCGACAATGCAATAAATTATTCATTTGACAGCCATAATGTGTCATATATTATTAAAAAGTTGGTGTTTTCTGCTACTATACTGCGTATCGGTTTTCATCGAATATGATAAGAACTAGACATAATCTTTGTGCCTACATAATTTATGAATGTTGCTACTCTATAACTTTATTATTCAGGTAGGGTTTTAGACTGACAGCGTAAAAGGTTACTTGCTTGAGTCGACTTTACTTTTTATAAATGTAGACTAATAAATACTTGAAATTTATAAAGAACCTAAGAAACTACCTACATACGAAGAAATTCTGCAACTACATATCTTATCTTAACTATATATGGCATTATATTAACAATATGCATTTGTGATTATAAAAAGGCTGTCAAAACCTTACGTACGATTTTGTTTCCAATTTTTAAATTAATGATTCTGATCAAATTTTTACCGTTCAAAAAGTCATAGCGATATCTAAAACATTATTTAAATTTCAAAACATAAAACATTTTCCAACGCTTTTTAATTTATAAACAATTAACATCACGCGCCAATATTATCTTGCAGTATTCATTTTAAATAGCGTATCCATTTTAGCCGTAGCTCCTCGCATTACGAACGAAGGGGAAAGGTGGGGGTGACATTAACAGCTGATGGCTGCGGGTGGGAGGGGTGACGACGTCAGGTGCCCAACAACTCAGCTGAGATTTGTAGAGCACCGCTTAAGCTGCTGACTTGGTTATTACGTACAATGACCTTTTATTTGTTTATAACTTTTCATATCAACAAAAAAAGCGGTATTTTTAAGACTTCCTTTTAGTGTATAGTAATTCTCATTCTCGTAATAAAATTGCCGCAGGAATATCGGTCATGACAAAAATTATTTTACGTGGTATTAATCCTTTAATATAAGTTATAACATGGTATTTTATATTTCTCTCAAATAGTATATGTATACAAGAATATTTACTATATTAATATTTAAATTTATAAACAGAATAATTAAAAAATACATGTATGATATAACTCATAATTCATCGGTAATAATATGGTTTTTATCTTCCGTTTTCCTTATCTAATGCTAATGACGCGATGAAGCGCTTTAATTAACACATAAGGCGTAATGGGAATGACCTTCATTAAGTGAATTACTATCACACAAAGCGCTGCAGCTGCTAACTTGGCTGAAATGTACAATGAACTCTATTTGTTTATATTTTTTTATTATTTGTATAGGTACAAGGTATGCAGGTATTGTGTGAAGCAGGTAACAGATTCTTGCAAGTATAAATTTTGTAACATTTAAGAAATAAATCTGCCGAGATTATTTTTGGGTCTATAAATATTAACTTCTTTTTAAAAGTCATGGTCTTATTGATTTTATACTATTGTTTCTTTTAGTTTAAAAATTCAAATAATAATAGTGAGATATCCTAGATTTTGGCTGGCGTTGCGTTAAATTTTGTTAGAGATAAATGAACACATGCTAGCCTTGGGTTATATGAATGAAAAAGTCATCCATATATGCAAAATATCCCAATTTATTTTAATAATCAACTAAAATAACGGGATTTTTATTGCATTCGGTGTTCTACTATAATAAAGTCAAATGAATCTGTGCCGATATGAGTAAATATTAAGATCTTTTTTGAAATTAGAAGTGATTATTTAAATAACTTACGTTACGTTATATGTATATATTATATCTATATATTTTACCCTATAGATTACATCATCGCCTCATCTATTATCATAATTATTAATACGGAAGTCTAAAAAATAATCAGAATTTGAAAGGGAACACAATGGAATATATTTCGTACGCATTAATGAAAATGAAATGAAAAGCGCTTCAGCGCTGAATGGTACATTGCATGTCTCGGGTGAAGACTGCTATATATATAAGTATATAGAGTGAAACGTTGCTACGTATAATAATACGAATTATGTCAGCTGATCAGTATTATTAACGAGGTCAAGGTCGCCATTGTTTATTTTTATTTTTTTAGCAGTTAATTATGTTTTAAGTATTACTATTGTAATGGCCTCTTCGGTGGACAGAGAAATTGTTTTAGTGGTCCACCGTCACGAGAATTTCAATTTTTTTATATTTAAAATGTTTGTTATAGTTTTGCTTATTGCACGCCTCGCAGTGCTCTACTCTCGACATGTCAAAAAACCCAGTCTTTCGAAACTTGAATGACTTTTTTCTCACTAATATAACACTTACAGGATAATATGAGTGCACTAAAATCGAGTTAAATAATCTATCAAGCACATATGGTATTTTTTAAGAACAATTATTTTGTTTAACATAGTAAATAATAACAATAAAATCAATCATTCTTGGACGTCCGTCAGTCTGTGTTTATGGATCCATGTATGTGGCAGAGAAATTGGTCGAAAAATTTATCGTACCAGAATACTTTTTTTCTTATTATATAAAGTTATACCCTGGGCTGATTCTTAGTTAATATTAGCGTTCTAAGTACTGTCGTTTAATTATAATTTGTAAAAAACTAAAATACGAATTTTAGTATATTTTTTCCTCACCTTAGAGTTATGGCGCCACTATATATTTTTTTATTATATTAAGTAAGTAGTAAGAAGTAAAAAAAAAAATGTAAACGAATGTTTTTTTTTTTAATGTGAATGACCGCTATGAGGCGTGCACTTTTGGATTTTCCAAACTATTATTATATATTTCCAGATGTATAAGATGTATCTTTAAAGGACTACTACATTTAAGTATTTCTTTTGCAAATTTGCAAATAACCTCGAGAAGATTTTCGAAGTACATTACTATAGTATATGTTAACTGATTGGTGAATAGATTCCATGAATATGTTGTCATGTTACGGAATAACAAATATAAGTAATAAGATTAGCGTTATACTTATTTGAATAATTATTAGTAACACTGAGACATAAACGTTTAGCGATTTTGTCTCAAGGATGCAATCAGCTACGAATTTGAGACTATATCGAAATCAAACAAGAATGTCGGAATCGTTATCCTCTAGTGTCGCTCTTGGAAGTTACAGAGTACCAGCGCTGTGTTAGGTTTATTGTACTACCTCCATAAATATTGGAATCAGCACTTTTAGGAAGTTGCCAATGATTCATAATCAGTAGTTTACAGAGTAGCCTAGTATTAATTATAATTAAAAATGCATAAATAGAAGATTCAAACAAATTTTAAAAGTTGGTTGTGGGAAAGGTACCTTTAATGCTGCTATTTCCTCGCTGTATTGCGATATATCTATTTATATAAAAGTTAAATACTGTTTAGTTCATATTTGTTCCATACCAAATCATAATACAAATAGTCAAATATGATATCGACTTCGTTAGGCATTCCCTGTGCTTCCGATAACAAAGCGAGATTATGATGTATAAAGATAAACGACATTTTTGGCACTGACACAAAAAGAAAAAAAAAGGAAAGTAAAATTTTGTCTGTTTATAAAATACTTTCTATATGACCAATTCACTCCCACACTCCGCATGCTCTGAAACATCGAAACTCTTTGCCCTGTGCCTTGTGGTCTTTGACTCGGTCAGATCAGGGTAACTGTAACTTTCAATATTCCGATCTAAATGAGTTTTTGTTCCACGCGATTTCAAGGTCGCGACTTTAGCGCTATGGATATCGAACTTGCATACAAAACCGTCGGCATCGGTATCGCTGTCGTTATTGGAAATACACAGTACCGGCGCAGATCGGCGTACTGTGAAGGAACTATGCTCAAAAATAAGGCGAATTGAAAACCTTTTTTGAGTATTTTGAAGTGGGTTAAAGATGTGGTGGTCAAGCCTGGTAACACTAAAATTATTATATTTTAAGAATATAACCCAAAATTGCTTTTTAATGAGCGATGTTCGGGGTTTTTAATGTACGGTCGCCGGCCTATTTGTGAAGCGTATGGGAGTAATACATAGATTTAAAAATATACTTAGAAAAGATTAATGGATAGCAAAAGGTTTTCTTTTAATTTTATAAAATAACTTAAAAGTATAATATTTAGTTTTATAATATTTTTAGTTAAAATTTCGCCATACATAAGCTCTAAATAAATAAATAAATAACTATATATTCATATTTTGTTTGTAATATGGAACGATGTTATTTCTACATGTTTCATTAATTTTTAAAGCAAGAAGAATTTCCTTCTGTCTCTCTGAAATAATTAATTCTTCGGTAGAATCGGCACCAAGACTTCAAACTTGCTGTACCCACTAAGGCAGGCCGGCTACCTGAGAGTATATTTAGTAATCATAGATTTTTATTATTTTATATTTTGTGGTCTGTTTTTTCCTGAACAAATACAGGGACATAATTGTCTCTGTATTTGTCTATGTTTTAATGTAATATTTTATCTGTTAGTGACTGTGTGATGTCAGTGTGCCTTATAAATAGTTAATTAATTGTATTAATTGGCGCTGACTTTCTATAAATTCAATTTGCGGTATCGAAGTGGGAGGTTGGGCGAAATTCCAAGTTTCCGTAGATTGTTTATTTAAATAAAGCCTTTAGCTGCCAACTAGGTTGGAACTAAAAAATAATTAAGTTAGCACACATACAATGTATGTAATATTCAGCTGAATTATCAACGAGAATTTATTTAAAACTCTCCTTTCCGAATGTTTTAAAATTTAAAGTAATGCAATAGATATTTATCCGTTAACGAAGTTTTATTTACGAGAACTGGCAGAAAATGTATAATAATTTAGTTATATAATTTTTATAAATTATTATTTTTACTAAGTGTACTAAGTATTTTTACCATACCATAACAACACTTCTAATATAAACTTGACGACAATTGATGTATCGTCGCTGTAGAATAATAACTTCGTATGTTGAAACGAAGCCAGGAAACGAAAAAAATGTTTCATTTCGTCAATGTTCGTTAAAAATATTATGTATTTTGGTCCATAGTTTTAGATGGTAATTATTATTAGTATTAATTATATAAATAAGTCCTTACTTCAAGATTATACGAGTTAAATGACATAAGAGTGTAAAAAATAAATAGTTTTTTGACATACGATATCATTCTACAGTGACGATGAGTGATCTTCGCTGAGAGATACGATCTACAACTGTTCAAATTAGAGTGTCCCTCAAAGGCCGGCAATGCACCCACTAGAAATGGGTGTCCATGCGATGACTACACTTTTTGGGCATCCCGTTAGTCAAAAAAAATGCAATAGTTTAGTTTGCATGAACAATTAAAACTTTCAACTCAGTTCATTATGTTTCCGGTTCCTTAAGTAAAGTAAAAAAAGTTCCTAAAGTAAATAAGTCTCTCCAAATTGGAGAGACTTATTCCTTTTTTAAAACAATCGATAACTGTACAGCTTGCCAGCCATTGGACTGTGAAATGTGTGGTTAAATTTATATGTATTAAATGTCCGGAGTATTTGTATAGTACTTGTAGTGTATGTATGATCAAGCTGCACTAGATAACTATAACTAAATATATGAGAGGGTGAGATGTAAGAACCTAACAAACCATACGGATTCCTAAGCCGTTTATATAAATACCTGGATAACCTCAAGAGGATGTCTGCACCAAGAGACCTAAGGTAACAGACGGAGCCCTACGGGTAGGATCTAAGGTTCATGGTGGTGGGATTATCTTAAAGCTATCAAACAGGCTCACCACGATAATTGAGGGGTTGAAGAAGTCTTCTCCACTTTGAGAGGAAGCGAGAAATTAATAAGACAGTCAGTCAATTTGATTTATTGTTATAAAACAATATCTTAAACTACTTACACCTATTCACACATACATAATATTATTCTTGTGAGCTGTTGGTGTGTCGCGCATCTTCAGCTGTTAAAATTTAGAACAACTACGTGAGCCGCGTCAGCAGCTGGTCAATGTTCAAATGAAATCTGAACAACAACTTTTGGTATTTAATTAATTCCGTAGTATAATTTATTAATCTGCCGAAGGTGGTAATTAAAAGGATGTCAATGAAATGTCATGTGGAACATGGTGTAATGGTTGCAGCTTGTGCAACCATTACACCACGTTGTGTAAAACAAAAAACTTGGCAACTATAGAGTGGCGGAGAGTTTATAGCCAGTTCTTTTCTTCCGTTCTACGCCCTTGGTTTGAGAACTGGCAGTAAATGTAAAATTAGAAGCATTTAATTTATATTTCTTTTTTGACGTTCATAAGTATACATTGTGTTACCTATATGAATAAATTATTTTGAGTTTTGACTTTTGACACATTACGACTGTTATTTTATGCAAGTGTCGTAAATCAAAATACGTGTTCATAGGAAATCAGCGATAAAACATTCAGGGGAAATGACGAGGTCTGATTGCAGTATGATTCATTTGTGGCCCGCTGTGGGTGTAAACCCCCCCCCTCCCAGGCCTCTATTTTTCAGTTGGAAACGGTCTAGACGCTGTTGTATTCCGAACTTCAAATTTCTTTTTGTTTGTAATTACACCCTCACAAGTCGTAATAAAAACATTTGTTGTGCCAGGTACTTCCTTCAGAAATATACTTCTATAGGATGCGAAGAGATGGCGCTGCAATAAAACTTTATGGTATTAGCGGCCTCTACATAATGATGATAGTTTCAAGGTTTTACTTAATTCACGCGTATAACGTATTCGTGGAAGTTTTCCAAGCATTGTTCAAGAACATGCCAACGTTATTCTTCGATCCAGTTATATTTTAACTGGTTAGAAGCAGCGAGAACTAGACTGACTCTACAATCTAAGTTTAGGTAATGTCGATTATTTATTTATGAGACTAACTTAGACATTAAGGGCCGATTCGACCAAACAAGAGTAAATCTTAATCTTAGAATAAATCGTCAGTTAATCGAGAGTAAATCAATTTTACGTTTTACCAACTACAAATTCTAAGAACAGTGGGCTTATTCGGGAATAGCTACTATACCGCCGTTTCGCACGGAATAACAGCTATTCCTAGAATAATTTAATGGCGTCAGTCAGTCCAATCAGCTGATTTCTGTCATTTCACAAATATGTATTCTGTGTTTTAATTTCAAGTCATCGCAACGCACTAAATTAATAGTCTAATGAAACGTTTAAACAATTTATTACTTATTTATTTATTTTTAGATTTTTATTTTCTATAATATTAGAATGAAATTCAACTAGGCTCAACAGAAGTTCCTTTATAGACGAAAGCCTCAAACAAACAAGAAATAAAAACTTTTTGTTGTCGTTTGACACCTGTTAAAAGCTACTTGTTCACTCTATAATACGGCAAAATCGAGTTGACATGATGTATGCTCTTACACTGTCCCGTTGTAGAACAACATTTATTTGCCGAGTTTTATTTTCGTTCACCATTCTCTTGCTATTCGCGTATTGTTATTCCTAGCGCAATTATACTATCGATTACGTGGACAAACGACTATGGATTTACTCGAGATTAAAATCATGGAATAGATTATTCTTGGTATAGTTACTCGTGTATAAATTGAAGTTTGGTCGAATCGACCCTAAGTGATTTCGAACTATTCCATTTCAGTGTTGATTTATTCAATGTACAAAGACACATCGAAAATAAAATTTTCTGTTAGTAACACTCTCTTCTCTCCAGAAACAAATCATCTCTGACTGTCGTATGTCAAAAACCTATTGAATTATGTCTTAGTCTCGTTTCTGAATATCACCCTTACACTTACAACATATATAAGTATTTAATCTGTGGAACAGATGCAAATAGCCGTTCGCCTCATGCATTAGGGGGACTTATAACCAATGGCTATGCAAAGCGCTGTTGCCCGTGCGACCGTGGCTATCGTAAATCTTAATATCATATCTTATGTGTCCATTATGCTATGTGGCTAGCAATCTATTCCGTTATTTAAAACTCAAATTAAAACGAGTGGCGGAGAGTTTATTGCCAGTTCTTCTCTTCCGTTCTACGCCCTTGATTTGAGAACTGGTAGTAAATGTAAAATTAGAAGCATTTAATGTATATTTCTTTGTTGACATTCATAACTGTACATTGTGTTACCTACATGAATAAATGATTTCTGACTTTTGACATTTAAATAACTTTATATTGCGTAGATAGATTGTAAATCAAAATATCTTTCAGCGACATGACAGCTAACAGCCGCTGCGGAAACTATAAAAACTCAATTCGAACAAGCGCCATTTTTGCGATAACTTCGACCGCGAATCGATAGCGTGTACTGAATTTAAACTGTCTCTGGCATTTTTGTCAGATCTAATGAACTATTAAAGTGTAATTTTGCTGCGCGATGGCTCCGCGCATGTATTGATCGGGTTATAGGCAACTTCTGCCAAGTCACGGATTGGCAAGCCTTTTATGGGCCGTAGGCGCGGGATGTGCCAGAAGTGCGTATATTGGCAAACTGTTGGTCACGCATCGTTTAGGCAAATTCAATGTTTGAGTAGCGTTTGAAACACACGGGAATTACCTAATTACTAGTAACACTTAATACGTAATTGAATATAGTGTATTTAATAGTAGAAAGTAGATACATATCATATATTGACGGTGGCAAATATGAAACAAAACAGAATTAGCCAGAATACTTAAGGAATGCTAAATAATTAATGCCCTTCATTATTGTGATGATAGTAAAATTATCGAGCTAGTAGTAGAAATTGGGGAGATTTTCTAACAAGCGGAATTTTTAACTAAAACACTGTATTATTCTTCAGTTACAATAAAATTCATAAATGTAGGTACTGTATGGCTTACGCCTTGGTTGGTTTGTTTGACTGGTCCTTCGCATAAATCAATCAGAGATTTGAGACTTTTATTTCCTCAAGTATGACATTAATTAACTTTAACCGGATCGTGACCGGTTCACACTTGACTACATCTGTGCCTAACCACCAATATAGTGTATGAAATATATTATGTTAGCGTAATATGCTAACCGCTGACCAGACGTATCGGTTAAAACGCGATATCTCTGGGTGGTTTATTAATTTTAAAGAATAAATACTTAAACGCATTTTGTTTCGATTTGATTTCATTTTAAATAGCGTGTCTATAATTCGTTAAATTTTTTTTGGTCGGTATTCGCATCTGGTTAAATATGGATAAAATTAAAACATAACCAATTAAATACAAATTAGCTAAATAAAATACTGTTTAAAAATTCATTTATTTTTGTGTGAACAATCGTATAAAATAATAAATTATCGATACAGCATATTAATCTTAAACTTATAATTTATTTCACCGTCTCATTACGGTCCAGGCAGCTCGTTATATCTTACGGGATAAGTTAATTGGTTTCCACGATCCCAAGAATAAAGCTCCTGGAATATAATAAATGACATTAATTAATAAAATATGTAAAAATATTTATACTACTAGTTAAAAATCCGCCATCTCTGATATATTTTTAATAAAATCGTCATTAGAAAAGCGCCACCTAGCAAAGTATCTGGAAATCAATATAACCTGAAATATATCATTAATAATGCCCTCTATACGTAATTAAGTTTAACACATAGTTATAACGAACGATGTCTTGTGAGGAACAAAGATTTTAGATTGAACTCCGAATAAATTTTTGGTGCCTTGATAGTTTTAATAAATTTCCAGAGATGGCGCTATAATACAATGTAATAACATCGTTTTATTTTGAAATATAAATCGAAATTACAGTAGAAGTTACAATGTAAATAAACCTTAATATAAAATACGAGATTTATTTAGATATATTTATTTAATCAATACTGTGAGTTAGACATTATAATATAACAAAATATCTTATAAAATTGTGTATAAAATGAATAAATTGCAATTATGTTCTCAACTTGCGTATATAAAAACTCATCTCCTTTCCTCATTAAATATTACCTTATGCGTGTGATCATATCCAAGCTGTGTGGTCTTCCGAAACGGGTTAGTGAACTGCAGAGTGACTTCCACAGGTTTATTCTGGTACAAGTCAATCGCGACTGTCACTTTGCTCTCTCTATCCGTCGCCGAATCTAGAGCATACAACACTCCACATACTATGAACATTTCGCCAACCTGCAAGGAAATAAACTTTAAATATATAATCCACGCAAGAATTATTTGAAATATTTTAATAAATTTCAAAATCACATTGTTTTTAAAAACGTTAAATCACTAATGTAATGAAAATTAATGTTGCTTTCATTATCTATGGTTACAGTTATCTGTGGTAGGCATGTACTAGAGTATAAGGGATTGCCTTAAAAGTATTTACTATACAAGAATAATATAACTTAGACTTACCTGTTTATGGTTTAATGATATATTCCATAAGTAGTCGATATTTAGGTCATCTTTATTCGGATCGAAGCTTAGCTTAAAATTAAATAAAAAAGTATGTATTTATTAATGCAATTTGATTTTGATGTAATTTTATTAAGTTTATGAATTGGTAGGTAATCTATTTATATTACCCACAGTCAAACACCACATATAAACAAAAACCCTCTCAGTAAGGAAGCTAAATATCTTAGCGACCTGTTCAAGATGTCATAAATTCCATGGACTCACAAATCAGGACACATCTAAGAACAGATGTTTTGTAATCCCAACGCAAAAACGAAGGACTGTGTTTGGCCAACGCTCCTTTGCATTTAGGGGCCTCTTCCTTTATAATAAAATGTCCAAATCTATGGATTCTGAGATCGTTAAACTATCCAGATATAAACTCGCAAGTCACATAGAAATTACACTAGCCAAAATGGATTTCGAATCTACATATCTTGGTATGACTTTGAGGTTTCAAAAACTAACCCAGACAGTACACGATCATAACAACTTTCAGCTACACTCTCAAATACAAGCGCATACACACCCATCACACACTCACTCATTCTTAATTTGTAATATGTACTAAATTTATTATTATTATATTTTTTTAACTGTTTTAAACATGTACCACGTAATAATTGTTTTCTAGTTACCCACAACACAGGGCCTCCCTAGTGTGGGGACTAGCGTTATATGAATTCTGTCACAACCCTTTTGTCATAAATAAAGTTTTTATTATTATTATATATAATAGTTATGTATGTATGTGTATGTTATGTACGCTTCAAAAACTCAAAAAGTTCTGCACCGATCGAGCTGAAATGTTAGCATGATATATAATCCGCATCAAGGATTGTTTTTTTTATGTTTTTAACATTTGTTGCCACAAGTATTGCAAAATTAAAGTTATATATGAAATGTATTCTTTGTTTTGTTTCTCATTTCTCAACCATTCAATCATAATGCACACATTGCACACAGCGAAGCGTGGCAGGGAACAGCTAGTTTAAAAATATTTTAATATGAATACCTTAGCTACAGCCGAATTGTTTGATTTTTCAATTGAATAAATAGCCCATAGACCATTGTCGTCTGCGCTAAAGTCAACCTAAAACAAAACATATAAAAATATATATCTCCTCGATTAGGACGCTTCGATTATAAAATCTTTTATTTTAATCAGTGGCGTAACAATAGGGTGGCAGGGCTGGCAAAATGCCACGGGCCACCGACCCAAGAGGGCCCCTGCCCAAGAGATATTATGTTCTATGGATGAATGTGACTATGGCTATGTGTGTATGACTCCAATACGCATTGGGCTAGCGTGGGGACTACAGACCATTCCCATTTCTTAGGCGATAGCCTAAGAGAGGAGGCCTATGGCCATTAGTGGGACATATACAACGTGTAATTGAGTACTCTGAAAACCTCGAAGTTTATTAAAATTAATTAGCAAATTGCCTGCAAAGAACGATCGATAGAAAAAACAATATTTCTAGCTTGTTTACCTGATTGTGCTGTGATGAATAGAGCCTTCCTGCAGCATAAGGCAGGTGGACGGATTTTATCCTACTCTGTGTGAGGTCATATCTGATGATGTCCCCTGGATGACCAGATTCATTGGCCTGGTAGAAGAACGATCCACTGTATACTATGTGCCCGTTACCCTGGAAAATTAAACTGGCAATGAGCTATTGGATGTGGGTGCTTACAACGATAAGTAGTACTTACGACAGGTATTTTGATATTGGAATTGGAAATTGCTACACTAATGGAAAATTAATAGAGTAGTGTTGGCCTAGTGGCTTCAGCGTGTGACTCTTATTACTGAGGACATAGAGTTGAGTTTTGGAATCGACATTATTTCTATGTGCGCATGAAACATTCGCTCCAACGGTGAAGGAAAACATCGTGAGGCTTGCCTTAGACCCATAAAGTCGACGGCGTGTCATGCATAGGAGGCTGATTACCTACTCGTATTTGCCTATTAGATTGACATATAATTACGACAGACGTAAGTCTGAGGCCCAGACCTAAAAATGTTGTAACGCCACTGATTTATTTTTATTTATTTTAATGTAAAATTACAAGTGTCCAAAAGTATGTTAATACAGTGTTTATGTGAGAGAAATACAAAAATAGAATAGAATAAAAAAAAAATATTTTTTCTGGTATTTTTACTTACAAAGAATGGTTTCTGTAATTTATGAAATTCGTCAACATGGTCTTTTTTGAAGCTCGCTTTAGTGCGATACTCTCTCAATCTTTCCACATCATTCTCTTGAGTCGTCCAAAGTTTCTCTTTCTGAAATAATATGGCGATATTCTATTTTTTTTATTTTTTATGATTGGACAATTCACACCAATTGACCTAGTCCTATGCTAAGCTGGTGAAGCTTGTATTATTATTATGGGTACTAGGCAACGGATATACATACATATTATAGATAAATAGACTTATAAATACATATTTAAACACCCAAGACCTAAGCACAACACCAAATACTCATCACATCGATGTTTGTCTCAGCCGGGGATCGAACCCGGGACCCATGGATTCGCAGTCAGGGGTACTAACCACTAGACCAATGAGCCGTCAATTGTATATGCCAGCCAGATTTAAATTTATTTAAGAATCTTGAAGCATTTCTCTTGCCTTGTAATTAGCTACTTATATATAACAATTGAATTACATTAAGTTGACACCCATTATTTAATTCAATTATAAGAGGAAATATAATTTGTGTGTACGATTTCATACCTGACTTTCGGTGGCATTAGAATCTCTTAACCAGGCTCCAAACAATTCATCTTTATAACGGTGATACACGGGTTTACCAATCGCGTAAAGTTGACAGTCTGTTAAAAAAAGGTTTAGTTATTTTTCACAAACTATATTAAAATATGCAATTTTCTTGTCTGTTGTAAAAAACAATTTTCCCGTAAATACTCCTGTTTTTCGCTCTAATCTAAATAAAGACGAAAAATTGTGCAAAAATCAGTGCTTTAAGTACAAATACTCATGGGATCTTCATGACACTTTCTAATTATTAAAGCGAACCCAACTAAGGAACATTATTATTCTTACTACATTATTATTATAAATATTATCAATTTCGGATTTGGATTATCAATTCTACTAAAAAGATAAACAAAGATTTACGATTTATTTAAAAAATCCTTACTTGTATTCCGCCGTGGCTTATATCCAGCAGTTCCATTCATACTAGATATCATCAGCACAGCTCGATCACAATGTGGGCACGAGGGACACTTTTGGACCTGGCACAGCTCCTCGTACGATGTTAGTGTTGGGGGACGAGAGCCGTATTCCATTGGCTGCTGGACTTGGCTTTGCTGGTTTGGTCCTGGGACTGATAAAGATTGCAGGTTAATAAAAACGTGTGTGTACTTATTTCACGCGTTAGAAGTTATACTTCTTTGGCGTAACAAGATAAAAATAAATTTCAAAAAAATTATCTTACGTTAAGACTTAAAACGACACTAACAATAGAAAAAAGGTATTTATACATTGAAAGTTTTATTATAACGCATTATTTAGTTAAATAAAGTTTATTTAAATATCACATAAAATAATTTCTACATAATTAAAGAAATTGACATTTTTTATTTTAGCATGCATCCTATACGTATATGTATCGATATTGTATTGTACCTATACATATAGTATACATGTGAGTTACAAGAGGCTTATGATAGCTAAATGACTAAATATCGTACAAATACTGCATCAATATTTGTCTCAAAAAAAAACTAAAATGTTTCAAACTATATTTAAAATTTAAGTACTTCTGGTATTAAAAATCTTTGTAACTTACACGCCAACCGTATATGGCCCTTAACAGTTTGATTATTAAGTTCATTTTTGGCTACACAGCTGTACTGTCGTAGATCATTTTCTCTGATATTAGGTATCTCGAGTCTCATTATCCATCTCCATGCGTCCCCAGTTGGGGATACCTCGGCGTTAAACCTCGTCCCTTCCATGGTGACTCCATCACATTCCCATGCGAATACTGGTTCAGGCCAGGCTTGGACCTGGAAGTAGAATTCCACGCAACTAATAATACTGATTAAAACGCATTTTAACATCACAATTTTGGATTGATTTTAAATCTAAAATAATAACATTGACCCAACGTTTCCCATAACTTACGACGTTATCTTTAAGACTGAAATTAAATATAGTTAATTAAAAAAATATGATAAATGAACACAGTTTTAAAATACAGCATTCGTTCGATGGTTGTACAATCTTTATAATTAAGGAAGTGAGAATGTTTGTTTCGAAGAATGGCGTGTTTCGCTCTTTAATCTATACCATGATTGTCTTTTATTCGATATCTCGTATTTTTAATTGTAAATTTTTGTTACCTCTGGCAACCTTTTTAAAGTTTTATATATAGGTCTTTCAATTTGCGCAGTCGTGATTAAAAGGATCGCTATTGAGAATTACAGGGTTCCAAAATTGTAAAAATAAATGACAATCGTTTGTATATCTACCTCGCATTCAATCTTCGCTGTTTTATTATACACGTAGAGGATATTGTTCGGGACACGAATGTACGGGCTAACTGTAAAATAAAACAAGTTAGTGCGATATTCTTTTGTAAAATTACGAGTTTATATGTAGGCCTTCATTTGGAACACCGACTTTTTGTATGAGAATTTTGTGAACCGCTTCATTTATGCAATTCGACTTAAGGTCCTTCAAGAAAAGATTCAAGTACCAATTATTAAATTACGCACTTGCAAGCCTTCTGGTAACGTAATCCATGGGCAGGTATCGCTTAACATCAGATGCCGAATGTTCCATATCAAACGTTATTGTAATAAATAAATAACTTACAATGTATTTCAACATCCGTGGTCTGGTTGGCTGACGGCTGCATACCATTATTCGCCAGGCACACATACTTTCCCGTATGCCATCGGGAGACATTAGGAATGTTCAGTACGTGGCCACTCACTGACGCATCCCGCCACGAACCCTGGAGTAATTATTACATTTGGTAAATAGCTTTATTCCAAGATAATGTGCAAAAAAGTAGTGAGCAAAAATTATCGACTCAGTTCAATATTTGTATAATATGATTCCGTTTCTGGTCCAAAAGTCAACATAAAATAATTATATAGTTTAGACTATAATATTTGCGATTCTATTTTGAATATAGAATTTCCGAAAATGTCCATTTTTCTTTTGATATTTTATTACAGATAGCAATAATCTAAGGCAAAATTACTTTTAAATATTATCTAAATATACCTACTGTTTGTGGATAGAAATTGTTAACTGTTAAAAGTTCGTAGGCAATATTAAATAATTATACTTTTGACTCGTTACACTGTAAATCTTTATAATGACTAAGGAACTCTCGATAAAACTACAATTTAATTTCTCAATAGCTATTGATATGTTTTTTTAAGTAATAGAAGGCAAACGGGCAGGAGGCTCATCTGTTGTTAAGACACCGCCGCCCATGGACACTCTCATTGCTAGAAGGCTCGCCAGTACGTTGCCGGCCTTTAAAAATCTGGTACGCTCTTGTTTTTTTATATAATAGGGGGGCAAACGAGCCTGCGGGACGCCCAAAAAGGGCAGTCATCGCAGAACGTAGACACCCATTTTTAGTGGGTGCGTTGCCGGCCTTTGAGGGGAATTTTAAACTTTAATTAATTTTTAAGGTTGTATCTCTCAGGGTAGACCCCCACCGGCTCTTTTCTTGAAGTACTCTAATTCGAATTGGTTCGGAAATACTTCAGTGGGCAGCTGGTTCCACATAGTGGTGGTGCGCGGCAAAACCTGCCTTAAGAGTCCGTCCGACGTCCGTTGTTCCACGCTCAGTTGTGGAACAATGGACGTCGAGGTGATACGGACGGTATTACGTATTCTGCCTTGACGTCCGAAAATGAAACTCAACTGCAGGTATTAGTCCTCTAAATTAGTATTATTATTATATTTCTAATATATTATTGTAATAGTACCGTTTCTTATTTGTACGTGTATATATTATGTAAATGACTGAGATCTTTTAAACGGCTGTGTCAATTTTGATTGATTATAACTTACAAGACTGATTTATTAGCCACACTATCCCAATATGAGACATTTGTATGTCATATATGTTTTATTACCTGGATTATAGGTGTACCATCAGCCCTGCGCCATTCAATTGTTGGTTCTGGAAATCCTTTGGGGTTGCAGTCCATCCTCATGGTGTCACCTTCCCGAACTATGAGGCGAGGATTTTCCACTGTAAAATGTTTTCAGAAAGGAAATAAATTATAATTTTTTTAACATTTCAGCTCAGGAGCTCAGTTGGTTAAACCGCAGGCATTGCGTGTTTCATATAATTAACTGTACGGGTTACAGTTTGAATTTCTAAATAATAAAAAATTTGTATTGTATAACGGATTGGAAATAACAAAATGTGACCTCTCATCGATACAAGCACGGAATCGAAATCTACCCCATAGAAACTGTTCACTTTTCCGGTATAAGAACCAAGTACTAATTAAACCTAATTTTTATTTTTTTCCCATAAAAACTTTCTTCAGAGTTCAAGGAATAAATAAAAAGAATATGGTTCTAGCCTTCTTTGAGTTTTAACATATTTTTCAATTATTTTTTATTTATATAGATAGATTTATAAATAAAAAGATGTCACAAAATTAAAATCTTTGGAAACGCATCTTTTAAAATACGTACATGCAAAAGATGGCGGTATAAATAGTTGATTTTCCCTAGTATAGTTATAAATAGATAGTCCTGGTCTCCCAGGGGAGCCATCGCGTCCATCGTTCCCACGCATGCCTTTGGGGCCTTGGGGTCCTCGTTCCCCCTTTATACCCCTCGGACCCTGGGGTCCTGTTGCTCCTGGTTTGCCTAAAACAGTAATTTTATTAACAAGAGAAAACTAAACTAAAGAGTAATATTTTATTTTAGTATTTTTTATAGTTAAAATTAAAATAATTATATTACTGTCCATCGTCCGTGTCCCTACCTAAAATAGAATCCCATATATTAAGATGAGTTGGGAATGATAATACTACAATTTAATATATTTTTAAAATACTTAAATACACATAAATAAAAATACTAAGTTCTTAGTTGTTACCATCCCGTCCGTTTACGAGATAATATAAAAAAATACGTTAGCTTAGCGCTTTTTTATACAAATACTTTAAAGTAAATCTCACCATCTTTGCCATCTTTTCCATTCTTCCCCGGACTACCATCTCTTCCAGGGATACCATCCCTTCCATCTTTTCCCGCTGCCCCATCGGCCCCATTTCTTCCTGAGAGTCCATCTAAACCTGGCTCCCCGGGCACACCATCTCTTCCATCAAGGCCAGGGTTGCCAGGGAACCCACGCTCTCCTGGAAATCAGAATAGTGTGTTAATATAAAATCATAGGGAAGAAAAGAATAGACAAAATAAAGAATACAGCTTTAAGAAAAACAACTAAGGTAACAGATATTACAGTAAAAATAAATAAACAAAAGTGGAGTGGACATGGCAAAAATAACAGAAAAGTGGAGGAAAAAAGTAATAAACTGGTGCCCAAGGTATAGCAAACGAAAAAGAGGGAGACAACTTAAAGGTGGATAGAGCAAATTAAAGTAACAGCAGGTGGTACATGGCAGAGAGTGGCAAATTGTAGAGAAGAATGACGGGATTTGGAGGAGGCTGTTGCTAAAAAAGAGTACACAGATACACTAAAAGAAGATTGAAATAGAAACGTGTTTAAACATACGTATAAAGTTAGCTATATGAGCCCACAACTGTTGCGTCATTTCAGGAACTTCTGTGTCTATATCTCAAAAATTTCCTACTACTTACTGCCACAAATCAGTTTAAATATTTTGACAAGAACTAAGTTACTTATTAATTGTCTTGTCATTACATAATATATCTGTACTCATGTCATAAAGAAGATGTGTAATCTTAAAAGAGTAAACTCAACTGCTGATTTCAACGTTAGAGTGCTTCATTATCCCTGATTTAAAAAAAAACAAATTGCCATCTGAAGCCGACACAAGCCGCAAGTATATTTTATTATCTTTGATCATACTTTATGACCCCAATTTCAACTGTGATAAATACGCTTAGTAAAATTATTTACTGATTTAAACATTTGTTAGGAATTTAATTTATTTTGTTTATTATTCTTAAACTTTTATCATATACCTTTCGGTCCAGGTGGTCCGACGGGACCTCTGCCACCGGCTCGACCAGGAGTTCCAGCTGATCCTGGGTCTCCACGGTCTCCTTTTGGTCCTGGTTCTCCATTTGGACCTTTTGGGCCCTGAACTCCAGGTGGACAGTAGTCTTGTGTTGCTTTACAAAACCCTTGAACGACGTTGTACTGAAAATCGAGTTAAAACCTGGCTTTTAAAATTAGATCTCTATTTCCCACATATTCTAGGAATTAAAAAATATAATGGGTTATTTTAATGTTTTCTTAATATATATATATATATATATATTTATTTATTTATTAACACTTCGTTGCATATAGTACAATTGACATAAATTAAATAAAAAGGAGAGCAACTGAATTATTCGTTATATATATAACGAATAATCATGGACTAAAATAAATGAATTAAAGGACTTAAGTGTGTGAAAGTTTGCATTTTTATTTTTCGAATATAGCGTTTATAAAACACTTATAATGGATATACACATGACTTATAATATTTTCTTAATTCGTGTAATAATAATATCGTCATGATCGTAGGACAATGTCAGATTTGAAAAAAATCCAAAATCCACTTTTTATTATATTTGGATACTACTTTGACTAAATATTCCAGCTACATTTAAAAAAAACCATTTGTTTTAAATTTCAAATTAATCAGTCGGTAAAGTGACGGATTCGATAGGTGCGCTCATAGAAGCATGTGATTTTTCTAGAAAACTGTGTAATTTAATGTTATTATTTTTATTTTGTTCCAAAACAAACCCTTTTGTTTGCTTGTATGCCAATTTTCATAATTACAGAATATGAATTAAAAAAGTTATCACAATAAAACATGATTATATTATTTTGAAATGGCTGCCCTGTAAAAGTTTACTATTTGTCAGATCTGTCACTATTCTACGACTATGACGATATATAAGGCGACGCATAAGTTGACTTCAGAAAAAATGTTTTTAGGAAAGTTTTTCATGTGTATTTTTATAGAGAAAAAACAAATTACAAAAAAACAACTGAACAACTAAAATATAGATGGAAACGACAGTTACTCGTAAATTAATAACAAATAATATATGACTGTCTTCAGCAGAAAGTAAAAACAAGATTCCCTTACAGGTACTCTCGAGTAGCTGGTCAACCAGACCCAGGTGTCTCCACCCGGAGCTGGGCCTTTTGCGCCCGTTTTCTTCATCTCAGCAGCGTCCTTCTCCTCTAGCTCTGGTCGCATTTTGGGGTTGAAGAATTCGACATGCGGCGCTACGGTGTTGTCATCTTGGATTGGCGATGGTTTCTTGGAAAATTTATAAAAATCTGTCTAATTCCAGTTTTAACTAAACTGTCTCTTGTTATTACAACGTAGACATAATTTGACAGAAAGAGACGAAATAATACTTTTCTATTTTTAATGAATAAGGTGCTTTAAGCTTCACCGTTGTATTAGAATTTAAAAAGTCCTGTAATTGCTCTCAGCAGTCGTTAACCAATATAATATATAGTTTTTGGTAGCTGAGTTGTACCATACTTTATATTCAAAACGAACCGACCCGGCGAACTTTGTTTCGCCTAACAGTCTAATAATATCGTGTTAACTTAAGTTAAACTTAATTTAGGATTTTGTTAAGGTAATATAATACAGCTTCATTTGAAAATACAGAAATGTTTAATTGCTTGCCATTGCGAAAGAATAATGGCAGTTTTACACATTAGGCCTCTTCTCTCTAGCGCCAATATTGCAATACTGCATGTTAAAGCACTTTCTGATATACATCATTTTTTGTTTTGTTATCCGGCGCAAAAACAAAGTGGTAGGTTTCTTTTATATACCTAGTTTTGTCAACAGATGGCACCACATGCTGTTTGCATTCGTAAAATTAACCAATTAATTTATTACTATTATTTTTTTTCAACCATTATATCTGATATTCGGAGCGGAGAAGAATCCACCAAAAAAGAGATAACTAACATCGGTCCAGCCGATCTTGAGTTATAAGTGGTGTAACTAACACGACTTGGTTTTATATAATTAGATTAGTTACCAAAAAAAACAATTTAATATGAGTTAGTAATTAATTTTCGTCGTAAACATTACATGACCAAAGATTCGTGTTCTGTGCTATGAGCCAAAGCGTATTAGGTATAAAAAATTGATTATAAGCTGTCTTATTGAACAAATTAGTAATTCATAAATATTAGTCAAAGAACTTTGTTCTGTTTAACAATACTTACGAGCATAGCATCCCTTTTAAACCTATGCGTCTCAAGCACATCACTCAAATACGTCCTAATTCTTTCATCTAACTCAAGATCAATTAGACTTTTAATATTAATGTTTATACCACACCATACATAAGTATATGTGTGAAGTAATAGTGAAATGATACCACAAGCACACGCAAATATCGACAGTGTACAGCGTTCATCGCATTTTCTTTTATCTTTAAACTTCATTCTACCGTTGTCATAACGATTGTTATTAACCACATTTAAACCGTCCGTTGGTTAGTTTGTAACTGAGTTATCAGTAATCTGGACAAATATAGCTCTTCCGGTTTGTATATTGCGCAACAAGCTGATAACCAATTGTGCTCCGGGTATTAAATGGTTGTCTATCGGGGATTCGACAGACATAAGGGTCTACAATCATACACGAGTAGTGGGGGTAATTTACTCTGGTATAATGGTAGTAGGATTAAATTGTTGTTGTGAGACACTTTCCATTTTCAAAACGTATAAGCTTAGTTTGTCTCACTTTTTGAATACTCATATTTTATTCGAAGGTACATTGCTTATGATTTGATTCAAGTTTTATATTCACTATAATCGAATAGAATTGAATGTATGAAAATTTTCAAATAACGATTTATCAGAATAATGTGCGTGAAATAAACACAGGAGTACTTCTCTACTGGCTGGAGATATAAAAAAAATGTAAGTATTTGTGGAATGCCTGGGAGGAGATTTTTACCTGTTCCATATTAATATTACTACATTTTATTTTTATTTCTTACTGTTAATATCTTGTTTATGTGTTTTTATGTAACAAAATAGGCTATATTATTATTATGTTTGGTAACTGTTTGCTCAGGAGCGATTCATGATCCTTGTAGACTGTTGCACACGGCCCTAAGCCAAGGGAACACAGTTATTATTATGATTACATCGGTACTTTCTACGTTCTGAAATTATATGTTCAATTATCCAAGTTTGGGAAAACGACTGTATGTTTGAAAACCCAACTCAAAATGCTCATTTATCAAAGGCGTGCGAAATAAATTACGTAAAAGAGTACATACTCGCGCTACATACCTAGGTAACACTGAAAATGTTTAGAAAATGAATAACGGCTTAATGTAGAAAGTTGCCAATACTTTTATTGTTCGAAGTAATCTCCGTTCCTCTCTACACATCGTCGCATTCTATGGAACCACTGAGAAAAGCAGTGGGCTCATTCTTACTTAGGGGTCTCTTCTATGGCATTTTCGTACGCTTTCACCGGATCTTCAGGTCTCGTAAAGTGAATACCTCGAATTTTATCTTTAACTTTGGGGGCGTAGCAATATATCCAGTTTTCATCACCTTTGACGATGTCAAATACAGCATTTGAGTTACCGCCGTTAAACTTATGTAACATTTGGCGACACCAGTCCATGCGAAGGTGTTTCTGGTCGGTTAAAGTATGGGGAATCCATCTGGTACAAAGCTTCCCGACGCCTAAATGTTCGTGTAATATTTTTTGAACTTGACTCAAACCAATGCCTAGGCTTGCCCGTATCTGCTGATAGGTCACTCTCTTATCTTTCTCTATAATGCGTCGCACAGCACTGATGTTATCTTCAGTAGTCGCTATTAAAGGACGTCCCTTACGGGTATCATCATTGAGATTGCTACGTCCACGCTTAAACTCGTTAAACCAATTTTAAATGGTGGCAAAAGATGGGGCTATATTAAGAAATGCTAATCGCAGCCTATCATAGCTTTGTTGTTGAGTAAGTCCACAACGAAAGTCATACTAAATCATTAACCGAAAATTTTCTCGAGTTAGGTTCATTTTCACGTGTAACAAGAGTTTTAGATTTGCCGCCAATTCACAAAAACAAATGACAAATGAATGCAATATACTATATTACAATATATAAAGAGTTCTAAAATTGAAATTCAAAAAAAGTTTTCATCGGCAATGTTTCTAACTGGCCCGTTCTAAACATTTTCAGTGTTACCCACGTATCTGTCGATATCGGTATAAATCATCCAGTCAAGATATGTGTTCCTGTGAGCCAGGAAATGGGAAGAAACCATCGATAATTTCATACGCTAATGGAGTAGATAACTTCATGGATGTACGCATGCGCCAGAATCTGTGTCAGGGACACAACATGACACGACAGCCAAGGTCAGTCGTGTTTAGCGTCTGACACAAGGTGTATGTAGCCAGTATAAGTTAAATTGTGAACAAAGCATGAATTTTACTCCACCATACGCGAGATCACCAGGTATGTGTTTCTCAATACTTCGAAGCTTTCTGTACTGCCTCTGAGTAATGAATTCAATTTATATGGCTAAGTAGGTGCTTATTGTTAATATATTTTTACAAAAACGATAGACTCGAATATTACGAGTATTAAAATTTCATATCATTTAATATTTCATTAATTATATAATTTTCTTTTGGGATAGTCTGTTAGAATAGTCTTTATTGAACTTGTTAACATATATTTCGTTATTTTAGTTTTAAAAATTCTACAATATAAAGCTTTAAAGTCGTGATTTCCTTGTGTAGTGTTAGTTGCCAAGTTTTATTAAAAATATAAAAATAATTCTATTCTAGACTATCCTACGGTATTTGTTGGCTTCGGTTGTACAAATATTGTTTCATAACTAAACCAATACACGTCTTCGTAAACGATTCGTCACAACAGCTTACAATATTCACACTATTTATATCACCTAATTGAATTAATTTCAAATTATATGGCTTCTAATTCAGATTGAAGCTATATTTAAACTACTGAAACAGTTATACAGTACCTTTTGGTATCAGATAAACACAATTGGAACATAGATTAGCAATAGTTAAATCCAAAATATTAATATTTGAAATATAAAATGGAGTTAATTAATATATAATTAAAGTAATAATGCAAGAAACCAACTGTGCTTTTCAGCATGCAGTATCGAGCCTTTAGACGATTACGAAGCACCCAGAGCACCGCTACTTCGACAGGTGTCACTTGATGAGGAGAGACAAGATGACTGCCAGGGACACTGGCGTGGGCCTTATGTGGAGGGAGAGGAGGAAGAAAGAGGAGTAAGGCTGTTCAGAGCGATGCTTCTGCAGCATTTAAGACTGGAGGAACTTAGGCCGCCGCCCTGTTTGTTGGTGCCGGCTAATCCTGATCAAAGGTATACTTTTAACTAAATCAAATGAAAATCATTTATTCATATAGGTAACACAATGTACACTTATGAACGTCAAAAAAAACATATTAAATGCTTCTAATTTACTGCCAGTTCTCAAATCAAGGGCGTAGAACGGAGGAGAAGAACTGGCAATAAATTCTCCGCCACTCTTTTTAATCGCCAAGTTTTTTGTTTTACATAATGTTTGTAAGGAGCTGCAACTATTACACCATGTTCCATATGACAGTTTAAGTAATTAATTGCTAATAATAAAATAAATTAAAAACATCGATTTGTCCTCTATGAGCAGGAGGCATGGTGAAATAAACCACGCACTTACATTCTCGTGGGGACAACACGCAAATTTATTATGAAATGAAAATACTTGGTTCGTTCAATACTTATGCCGGTTCTTTAATTACACAAGACATAATATGAATTAACTTTGTTTCATTGTGGCGTGTATTCATGCGTGGGGCACTAAGAGTTTACGGACACAATTTACATGGTTTACCGTTCTGTAGGACGGAGCATTGACATTTATAAGTATCTTCAGAAAAAAAAAATATTAGTTAACTAAGCTGTATTTTATACTCAAAACTTTTTAAATGATTCCCTAATGTTGTCCTGTATAATTGACAGTACATATGTATATTAAAGTAAATATAATAAGCAATTGTATAACAATTCAGAGGTTGGTGGATGTATTGGAGAGATTGGCGAGCTCTCGAAAAAGCGGCCAGAAGGTTCAGAGAAACCAAAGCACGTGCCAGACTTGCAGCTAGAGCAGAACACATATCTTTATTAAGTCTTGACGAAGTTGCCTTTGAAGATATTATGCAAGAGTTGTGTCAAGTAAGTGCATCTGAAAACCAATTGTTGGCATAAAATTAAGACATAAAGGATAGGTTCGGTGTCAAAATCCTACTTGCACAGATAAATTGCGTTAAAATTAAAAACCAGAAAAATATTCTACTGACATTTCATAGTTGTTTGTAAGAATTATTTGGTATTTTAATAGACAATCTATAAACATAAATAAGCATCCATGCTTCAGGATTCATAATTTGGATTTTCATGGTTGACTACTTATTATCTGTGACCATTGGAACCACAACACAAAAAGTAAAAAAAATCCCTCTCTCGTTGCGAGGCATGTGTAGGATCTTTCATAGTATGTTACCAGCATATACATCAATACGTATTCGTTGATGGTAATATTAGAATGTAATGCGATACAAATATTTTTTTTTCTTGAGTTACTAAGTCTCAAACTTAAAATAACTTTATTAATATAGGTAACTAAGTACACTTATGAACGTCAACAGCTTAAATGTTAAATTGCTTAAATGTTATATTGATTTTAAGTTTAAATTTAGTTCGCAAGTCAAGGGCGTATAGCAAGCAAGGAGTGTTTGCTAGTTTTTTTTTTCGTAATCCTACAGCTAACAAAAATTATATAAAATAACAAACAATTACACCGAAAATATATCCAGAGATGGAATACATAACATTTAACTATAAAAAGGTCCAAAAATTTACATAAGGAAACAAACAGTTATAATTATTCAATACATTTTACTAAGTGGTATCAAATTTGGCTGTGTTGTGTGATGGTGTAAAAGTGAGGTAATTTGCGCTATGGACATTCTTATTACTCCTTTTAACCATATTAGCAAGAAACTCTCCGCCATTCTTATTAATTTCGGTCTCAGGTCGATATACGCTTGAGACGTAGTCTATAAGGATATCATCTAGTCAAAAAACTCTTAATTCCAGGCATGCGTTCACGCTGAGCAGAGGGCACTGCTTGTACTTGCATTTCTATGCGAGGTCTGTGCGCGGGCGGTGAAGGTCGGGGGCTGGTGTAGAGCTGCAGATTGGGCTGCTAGACATGTAGCTCAATGCGCTACACCTTGGGCTATTAGACACGGAGGATGGGTAAGCTATTTTTTATTAACGCTTAATCATTATAAATATAAACTAGAAGTACACAAACACCATAAAACCACTAAGTGGTTTAACCTTGATATCTGAAGGGCCACACCACAGTGCAAATTCCTGTACTTATAAACTAAAGAAGAAAGTGGAAAATTAAAGAATACAGTCAATACAAAAACAATAAAAAAATAAATTAAACAAACAGAGATAAAAAAATATTGTTTTTCCGTGTACATAAAACATGTCTTATATTTATGGAGCCAAGGTTGCCAAGGTCCAAAAAATACCTAACTTGATTGAAATAATTGGAAGTATTATTAAAACTTCTTTAACAGATTATATATAAAATATTTCTTAACCATATGAATTGAATGCTATTTGGAAGTAAATACACAAATAAATATATAATATTTTTACGAAGACGGGTCGACTACAATGTTTCTAGATTTTTCCACAAGTTAGAGAACTTTTCAGCAGGCTGAAATGTGATTTCTGACCGTTTCAGGAGAGGGTCAATCACATATTAGAAAATCGTAATTTACATAATGTCACCCTAGTTTTCAGGAGCCTGAAACATTTTTTCAGGCCGTTTCAGAACACGTGTAGTCGAATGGTACACTTTTCAGGAAACCCGTTTTCAGGCGTTTTCAGGCCTGGTTATACCCCTTTGATGAAGGAATGTTCTAGAACGAATTTTCTAGGTGTGGGAGAAGGACGGAACGATACGCGAGAGAGAGGGAAGATCGGAACCTTCTCGAAGCTAGACCGAGCACTCTAGAACGCCGTACGACAAGGACGGAGCAATGTGCGAAAGAGATGGCTAGTACGCACGTTCTAGAATTGTGCGATCGCTACTCAGTTGCGCTGCCGCCTAGAGAGTTCTCGAACATCGCTCCCAGGGATATATAAGCGAGCCGAAACGCGACCAGTTAGTTCAGTTTTGAATGCGATACCAAGCGATAAACACCGGAGTGACAAAGTGCGAATATAGTGAAGACAAGTGAATACAAGTACTGTGTGAAGTGCGTGTAATTAGAGTAATAAGTGACAGTATTTTGTGTGTGTAATCAGTGAATTTTAGTGCGTAATTGTGGTTTTTAGTGTTAACAAATTCCTCGTAGATTTAATTAAAAATAAACCCTTGAAGAAATTTACGGCGTTTCTATCCGATCCCCTAGCTCGTAACAATATTTTTCTTATTTGTGTGAATATTTTATATATATTATGTTAAAGAAGTTTTAATAATACTTCCAATTATTTCAATCAAGTTAGGTATTTTTTGGACCTTGGCAACCTTGGCTCCATAAATATAAGACATGTTTTATGTACACGGAAAAACAATATTTTTGAAGTTGTACTTCTTTAGGCGCGTTATGAAAAATTGATGAGAGTGAAATTTTACGATTGCGCGCGCACCTATGACACAAAATTGGCAGTGTGATATAGCGTGCGCGAGCGAGATGGGAATAAGACAAACTACAAGTAAAAGAAATAGAATATGCGTGAAGCTAACTTCACGCATATTCTAGCTTAGCAGCTTAACAAGAATTTTGAATGACCATGACAATTGACATCTGACAATGACATTTACCTTTTAAACAAATATAGGAGTTTTAATTATTGTTTAAAATTAATAATTATATACCTAGTTATTTTCATTATACAAAATATTTGTGAAATAATATAAAATATTTGTGAAAAAACTGTGCTAACCTTCCTGAGTGCTTCAATACAATTGAGGTTAACTATCCGTATGTATTATCGAGTATTATTGTTGATTAAAACTGAAACATGAACCATTATTAATTGCTTTTGTTTATTGCGTTTGTTACAGCAACTTTTTAGAAATATTCTACGACCCTATATATCAATAATTGAGAACAAAGATTTAAGCACGAATACTAATAAGGAGAAAATGAAGGCTTGGAGCGATATAACAGAGAAGTAAACATTTTAATAAGTACCTGCATCTCAAAAAAATGACCACATTATTTAATCAAAACATCAGATTTAATCTAGCAAATATAAGGACAAGAGACAAAAAACAATTGATGAATCAGTGGAAGTGCACTAAATTGAATACAAAAAAAGAGTTGTCATCTTATCGCCGTGAAACATCAAAAACTGGAGGTGGAACAAAGCCACCATCACCTTCTCGAGACACAATGGTTTGAAGTAGATTTCAATGAATTTGATTGTGATGGTGTCGAGGTAGGAATGTTAATTATAAATATGATGTATGGTGATGTTCAAGGTTCAACCTTTCAAGCATAGGCATATGCTTACAACATTACTTTATTCCCCTACAGGGTAGTTAGAGATATTGTAATACCTCAAAACATCCATGTTGCACTTGTAGTACCGAAACTCTGTCCTGCCAGAAGTGAACCCATTCCCACTTATAATGGACAGTGGGTATAATACACCTTAATACCTGAGTGCGAACCACTCACCATGATACTTAAATTAATAGATGTTATTTATATATTTCAGGATATTACAAATAAAATCATTTTGGAAACAATTGATATCCCAAAAGCAAATAAAGCCAACAATGACAAGGTAATAAATCAGTTTTGACATAACTTGAATACTAAAAAAGCCAAACAAAGGTGTGCACAACAGTGACAACATAACTTAACAATTTCATTATTTTGTAGGATTAAAGAAAGGTTAAAGAAAATCATGTCGAACTGAACAACAAGAATCCCCAAACAACTCCAAAGAAACCTACAAGGAAGACACCGGTATTATATTTAAATTATCTCTATCTCTAAATAGAATAAAAGAAAGTTGCTATCCAGGTCTGTAGCATGTGCTACAAATTATATTATTAACACATTTATATAATTATATTAATATAAATGTGTTAAAAATTTATAATATGAATTATAAAAAATTTTAAGTTTTGCATGGACAGAGCTTAAATTAATATTCTCTTATTTGTTGCAGAAAGCAAGTAGTTTTGGAGAAGCCTCGTAGATGCACAACCAAGTAATGATTAATTTAAAATTACAAACCGAAATTCTGATGAAGACATTAGAGTCACTTAATAATAAATAGTATAATGAAATAAAAATGTTTTAAAGATAAATAGTGTTTTATTTGTTTAATGTAAGAGAATAATAATAAATATTTATTTAATTAATTTTTCAAATGTAAACTGAACTTTATTGACTTTAATGACTCCTTTTCCAGTCTTTGATTATTTAATTGTAATTAATTATTTGCATGCAATCAAAAACTATTTTTAATAATGCCAAAGAAGTATAACTTCTTACGCGCGTACATAAGTACACGCACCCTTTTTTTTTTTTATCTCTGTTTGTTTAATTAATTTTTTTATTGTTTTTGTATTGACTGTATTCTTTAATTTAAAAAAAAAATAGCTTCCATTATTTTTCCTTCCATAGTTTTACTCAACAATATATTATAATTCAACAATAATTAAGCGATAATAAACAGGAGAAAACCAAACATTACAGTCAATTCGCAATATTTGTTTACGTATTATTACGTCAAGTGAGAGAAATGGAACGCTAAATCGATTGTTTCCATAGCATCACTAGCTAAATTATATTAAGTTTCTTTATGAATGGATTTTTAGAGTAACGTGGTGGAACGAGCGAGTGGAACAAGGCGAGATGACACAATATTGGCTGGGGCAGCCATTGCAGCATTGCTAGCTTTTCTTTTATTTTGTAAAACACGTCTTCGTTTAACACTTCTATAATTCCTTGGTACTGTTGAGGTTGGAATTGCAAAATCATGGTCAAGATTTCTAAATGTCAGAGTAGGAGATGGCCTCTTACTTAATAACTGGAGGCTGTTCGCGGAGGCGCCAAATACAACCAGGTACTTAAGTTTGCCCTTAATAATTACTTGTAAAAATTGCTTGAATATTCTCAAACATTATCCATGATTTCGATCCTGTTATACGATTTAAAAATAGGTACTGCTGAGAGTTTTTGTACTAAAGTTACTATAAGTTTTATATATTTCATAAAATGTCTTCTAACTCGATGTTAGTCAGCAGTTTTTAATTGAGAGACAGATGCAAAGCACTTGAAATAACGAGAAATGTAAATGTGATTCGCGCTTTGACGCGTAAATATTAATTAAATGTGTAGTATTTGTGTAAATGAAAAAAATAGCATAAAATTGGCACTCTAATCGTAACGCAAAATGTTGGTATCTTCTAAATCTTCAATAATGTCCCTAATGATATTTAGGTTTACATTCATTTGAGTCAGAAAATAAAGGTTCCACAATTAATAAAATAGTACAGGAATAATATCATGTCTTGTGCCTACGTCACACCAAATAAATTGAATTTATTAAAAAGTTATGTTACTTATAAATTCAATGTATAACGATAAAATTATATTCAAATTTCCAAATTTTATATATGCAATTACTTTAATATATCTCTTAAATATATAATTTTTGTATAAAAATAAATATTTTATCGATATAAAGAGTTTTATTAATATGACTAGTATTTGTAGTTTATATTTATTTATTTATTTGATATCATTTGACTTAATTATGCCAGGCATAAGGTAGTTAAAATTAGCTTTCATTAGCCAAAATCGTCGCTGTGGGATGTCTGATACTCTAGGTAAAAATAAAAGACTATCGGAAAATCTAAATAGTACGAAATATAAAAACTTTGAGAACATACAAAATACTATTTTTAATAAATTAATTTAAAAGGTTGCTAGAATGAAACCAGTTTGACTATTTTATTATTTTTATTGTAATTTTTCATAATACCGCCGCCACACGACGCTCACTGCTCTTGCGTACATCAAACAATTTTATTAAAAATACTAAGTACAAACCAATTTTACTACGATTCAGGATTAAACATATTTTAATTACTATCAATCAATAACAATTAATAGAAGCTTTGATAAGGATAACGATTAAGAATTGTAATTCAATAATTGGTGAATAATATGAGCGTGTTACCAATTACAGAGCAATGAATGTTTTAATAAGTTTTTTCTGTGTCAAAGTTTGGCGCTTATACACTCCCATGTTATTACCAATGTGAAATAATTTGAATACGTACGTTATTGATTATAGGTTAATTGAATTTAACTATATGTTATTAAAAAAATCTTGTAAATTGGTCTTGACTAACGTGTTACTTTATATAAATTCAATGGTTAATTAGAAAATGGTACAGTTGTTCTTCAACGTAGCTTAAAATCTTCAGGTGTTTAGCAGAACTATTAAGTCGTATTTGGCTTGCTCTAGCTAATAATAAAGGTTTTTTTTATTTATGTATCATTTTCTAACCCATCATAATATACAACGTTACATTTAAAATATAATACTGTTAAAATATTCCAAATTCACCAACGTACCAAAACAAGTCCATCAAGAGCCCAGTAGACCACAACAGTCCTGTTGAAAACCTATTTCTTATCTACTTTTTAAAATCAATAACATTTTTTAGTTTTTACTTAAGTTATAATATCACTATTAACGATCTACGCTGTCATCCCGACATCGAGGCAAAAGACAAGTCGAACGGAGCTACAAACTTATCAGAGAATGCAAAACTATGTCGCATTCCGTTTGATCATCATTGGTTAACAGTGTAGTCTAACTCATAGATATGTCATGGAAGCAAGTCCAATTATAATCAAACGCAATGTTTTTTTTTTGTTCTACATTCTCAACACCCGTTCCAGTTGACCATCTTAATTGTTCTATCTCGAGGGAAGCGAGATCAAGTCGAAGAAAATACTTCACCCTTCTAGGAGCTTCTAGACCCGGAGCTAATTAGGTAGTGAATGCTGGCTCATAATCAGTGATTAATAAACATCGAAATTTTAAAGAGAAAACTTTTCAGTCTAGTATAGCGTTATGTCTGTCACACATTACACGATCAATCAAATTACGCGTGGCAGAGACAACTACTGTGGACTAAGATGGATTCGATAAGTTTGTAGACTTTTAGCTGTTTCAAAAATTCTAGATATTAAAAATATAATATCAGATCAGAATCTACAACTTGTACTACGATAGTACAATAATTTATTACGTAAATTAACTCGAATCGAGATGCGTCAGCTCAGAAAAAAATCTACCCGCATAATTTCTTTCGACACACATTTAAAGCTTATTTGAATGTACTATGTCAATTAGGCAAGTAATCAAGATACGACAGTGAACTGTGTCGAAAAAAATTAAACGGTTAACCGTTTCCATTTTATAATTTTATATAAAAATCATCACTCTAGTAACAATTCTACTTGAATATCAATATTGTACCTCAATTTCTGTAAGGTAGTTAACATGTTTAAATTTAATTTAGCTTTAAGCCTAGTCTTACACTACGTAGAAGGATTAATTTGTTATTCGTAATAGGTATCAAATAGCTACATACTGTCAAATTGTAAAGATTCTATTTGTAACAAATCTGAGATATAATGGGCACTAGCTTTGCCCGTGCTTGCAGAATGAGCGTGTATTCTTCAAACTAAATGATTCCAAATTCAAACACCGACATTTAAAAATTGTCAACAATCGGCCATATTTGAATTCCAAATCAGCCGTAAAAACACTCGCCCCACTATTCAACATTGAACAAATGCAGTATGAACGTTGGCTACTAGTGATGCGATTAATATGGTTTTTAATGGCTTGAACCCTTTAGTTTCTGATCTTACGTTAACTATAAATAAGGTTTTAATGGAAGGATATTATTTTACAGATTCTAATCAATATTTATATAGAGAGATAGATAGAATTCGCTAGAATATGTTTAGAGTAGCTTACAATCGTGTCGCATTGGAATTAGGCTTTGTATTCAACGTACACGCGTAGGTGCCGACCAGTATACATAATAAGACAAGAATTAAATTTAGCACTCTACAACACTATGTTGTTTTTATAATATTATCAACGTCATACGAAATGTTTGGAGAGAAAAAGTTATTCAAATCTTAATATAATATATAGAAATGGCCACGACGAGGTCGTACAGTTGATTCGATAATAACATCTCTCAATCCTCAACGAATGGTAATGAATGTGCAACTGTTTGACCGGAAGTGGCACCGCTAAGCGTACTACAGAAGGCTAATATTAAATCCAATATTCCTATGTATTTTGTGAAAAAGACGAGCCTCAAATTATTCACTTACTTGTAATATGTCATTAAGCGCATATCCTTATCACAGAATATCATTGTATCTGATTGTCCCGGTTCTTAGATATGTTAATACTTATTCGATTTGTTCGCTTCTTACCAGCAAAAACTTTCGTTTCTCAAATTATATAAAACTTCAAATTACTAAAAGCGAGTCATGGCAGCCAATCTCATTATTGAATTGATATTAGGGATATAGGGCCAATGTGGGGTATTTTAAACACCCATCTTTAATCTTTTATTGTAACGATTTCTGATTGAATTAACGATAACACATCATTTGCTCGGTCACAATTTAACGTTATTGCGACTTTTGATGGTAATATTTATTATTGTAAAGAGATGAGACGCAGGACCAGAAATAATTCGCTTTTATACTTTTAGAAATAATTTATATCGATATTCTTGAAATGCATTTTTGTGCGCTTTTACCAATCAGTTTATATAATTATGTAAAGGAAAGTTCGTACGCAATGCGTGTTGAGCGATTTTGAATTGTTAAAGCTTAACAATACAAACATTACTAACTACGCTATACTATTTATTGCTATTTCAAGGCGGGTTGTCAATATAAAATTTGATGGGAATTCAACAACTGATCGATAAAATGTACCGTTAAAATCTGTTATTTCATCAACAATTAAGACGTTGCCCTAAAGGCTGGCTTAGGGCTTTAATACTATTAGCCCCACTGAGCTACGGCCCGTATTCCAAAACATATCTCAAGTTTTGACAACTGTCAAAATCATTAAAGACAACTCAACTAGTTTTGATCGATTCGATCTCGATTCGGGAATACAGGCCCTTGAGATTGAAATCTACGGACGGTTTACAAGATGTTTCTAGATTTTGAAGATCGCAAGCCAATAATAAACCGTATTTGCTAATAACACTAAGCGGAGCAAAGAATTTTTAAGTTATATGGTTTGCAATATGCAGGCACGTTCTGATATTTTGTGATATTAATAATTTATTGAGTCGTTCAATTTGCCCCGCCCTTCTCTACAAAACAGTGTATTTACAAACTATTTCCGTGCATTGAAAACAATGTTTTACCTACTTTGTATAATATTAAATCCAAAACAGTGAAAATGTATAACATAAATGTATGTATACATTTCAACATTAAAACATCAAACAGTTGATTTACAAAGGTACAAAATCTTTACAAAAATAAATAAACGTAATATCGTAAAGTGTAAACTTTATTTTGGAACTAATTTAAAGCTAACTTATTAAGCACGCAATACATCTTCTAGTCTACATATTACATCTAACTCTTTCTAATAAAAATAATTGCGTAAATATCTATAACTCAAGATCTTCGAATCTTATGGAGTATAAACAGACACAGTTTTGGTACTGTAATTCAGATTTGATGAGATAGACCTGATAGCAATTTAATGTGTCAGCATTTTAACTGACTAAAAAAGTTGACAGTTTGTCCTGTATAAGATTGTTGGAGTTAAATATTTCAGTTTAAGTTTCATCAATGTCGGCTCAGTGGTTATAGGGTATAACCACGACTTTTTGACAAGAATTTGGATCGGTTTTTAAGTCCCTTTTATACAGACTTGTTGTAGTCAAGTTTATTTTTATTAGAAACAGAAGATGACCATATTCCGAGAGGCACCGTAAGGAAAGTATGTTGTATTATTTAATTTATTATTACATTAAAACATAAAGTTATTAACTAAACTGTTGAGATTAAATCCGTTTACACCACTTATTTCAGTCAAATAACAAATATTGAAGGACTTTATAAAATTAACTGGATCTCTTTATTATTCATTTAAATTTTTTTGGTTACCTTTCAGAATACGTCAAACCTCCAATGATATCAAACCAATTAGTATTCTAACATGTTAGAGTCTCGTTGAGCATTTTAATTTCAAATATTCAACTAAATACTAAAAGTACTTTTTTAAAAAGGCGATTTTGTACCGTTTAAGCAAAAAAAAACTATACATGCACACAACTGTAGAACTTAGAATCGTATACGTTTCGTAGGCGTAGTTCGTAGCTTCGTAGCAACGGTGGTATGTGCTACGGATAAGTTGACTATTGCTATGACATCATTATTAGCAAGCCTCGTAGACAAACACATAAGACGTTACGTAGTGTCTACGTTGCTACAATTAATATCGTAGCCCTTAGAGTACGAAACGGTATAGACATCTATATTTGATCAAGAGGCAATACTTTAGTTGAAATTGATCTTTCTATCTCATTGAAAGGCTCGTTGTTTGAAAAATCCTGCATAATACGATTTCAATGTCAACTAAGAGCTAGCCAAACTAAAATAAGTTAAAACCAAAACACTCTGAAAAACTGTAACACTACCTATCGTTCTAATTACATCTGTCATAAGTCCGCCATTTATACAACTATTTACTCGCTCGGACAATGAAGGTACCCGTACTCCAGACCCAGGCTCACTGCGACGAAGACAAAATACAGTAGGAACATCGTGAAGCCCAGCCCTCTATTCATTTTCCACCTAGAAGAGCAATACATATATATTAATATTTACAATCTCTTAATTAGTAAATAAAAAAACCCATATGAAAAAATATTAATGGAAACGCTGTCGGCCTAAAGATCCTAATGAAAATATGATATATTTTTAAAGAAATATCAGGTCATTTAAATAAAACTTAATTAACGAATAAAAACAAATTTATCGGAAGTTCTCCCTCATCACGGTTGTTGAAGAGCGCTTTACATGTCGATTTATAATAAGTAATATTCGCGTAAACCAAAATTAGATATGTGATTCACCGTGACAAAAGCTGATGTTAATATGGCAAACATTTGTGTTCTAATCATATTCATATTGTTACGAAGACTGGTAACAAGAAGAAACATTTCAATGTCTCTTAAACGTTGTTTTGTTTAAAACAAAACCTAAAAGACACGTGTAGCTATTCTACCCGAACCCGAGCTCGTAATAATCTATATATATATATATATTATATATATATATATGAAAATGTTATGTTGGTTTGTGTACGCTTCAAAAACTCAAAAAGTTCTGCACCGATCCAGCTGAAATTTTAGCATGATATATCCGCATCAAGGATTGTTTTTTGTTTTTTTATTTTTTTCCACAAGAATTGCAAAATTAAACTTATATGAAATATTTTCTTTGTTTCGTTTCTCATTTCTCAATCATTCAATCATGTGCAATGTGCCACAGCGAAGCGTGGCAGGGAACAGCTAGTATCATATATAATCAAATAGTTATCTGTCAACTTGCAGTGACAGTTTTCCGTTGACTAGTTTACATAACTTAAAATTACATAAAAACTTTTTTATTCGTTAAATTTTATATTTAAGTTCATTGATGATGACCGAAATGTATTATGATATTGTAGGGATAATTTATTCTCATTTAAAATGAATTGAACTTACCTGAAGCACGCGATGCTCAGGATCACGAATAGCAGCATAGCAAACAGCAGCACAATGCTACACACCATGCCTTTGGAGTTAACCTGGACCGGCGTACCGTATATCAGTCCATACAACAGCCACGGGAGGGGTAACCTGTAATAAAGATAATAATTTAAGTCAAGATTGTTGTATGGAGTCCACTGAAAATCGGCCTTTGAGAAACCTATAATAAAACTGTGTTTATGATTTGACAAGGTAATGATGTATCACATCACGTGTCTCAGTTTTCATCGTTTCCTTTTCCATTTTCCATTATCTAACAAATTAATGAATAACTATAATTATAACTATTAAGTGTTGTGCTTTCTTATGTAAATTACAAATCATTTATTTATATCGGTAACCCAATGTAGACTAATGAACGTTAAAAAAGAAATATGTATGAAATGCTTCTAATTTTACATTTACTGCCAGTTCTCGAATCAAGGGCGTAGAACGGAAGAGAAGAACTGGCAATAAACTCTCCGACACTATTTTTAATTGCCAAGTTTTTTGTTTTACACAACGTTTGTAAGGAGATGCAACCATTACACCATGTTTCACATGACATCTTAAGTAATTAATAATAATAATAAAAATTAAAAATAAAGATTTGTCCTTTATCAGCAATAGGCATGGTGAAATAGGAGCACGCACTTACATTCTCGAGGGAACAACACGCAAATACATAGTCGAAACAAGTAACATCACCGCATACACGAATTTAAGTCCGACCAGTCACCACAAGTAGCATCCGTTCACGAGTATGACGCATGGCCAGCCATCGCCCGCCTTGCCAGATTTTAGGAAGAGAGATAAACATTTGATATCCCAAAAGCAAATAAAGCCAACAATGACAAGGTAATAAATCAGTTTTGACATAACTTGAATACTAAAAAAGCCAAACAAAGGTGTGCACAACAGTGACAACATAACTTAACAATTTCATTATTTTGTAGGATTAAAGAAAGGTTAAAGAAAATCATGTCGAACTGAACAACAAGAATCCCCAAACAACTCCAAAGAAACCTACAAGGAAGACACCGGTATTATATTTAAATTATCTCTATCTCTAAATAGAATAAAAGAAAGTTGCTATCCAGGTCTGTAGCATGTGCTACAAATTATATTATTAACACATTTATATAATTATATTAATATAAATGTGTTAAAAATTTATAATATGAATTATAAAAAATTTTAAGTTTTGCATGGACAGAGCTTAAATTAATATTCTCTTATTTGTTGCAGAAAGCAAGTAGTTTTGGAGAAGCCTCGTAGATGCACAACCAAGTAATGATTAATTTAAAATTACAAACCGAAATTCTGATGAAGACATTAGAGTCACTTAATAATAAATAGTATAATGAAATAAAAATGTTTTAAAGATAAATAGTGTTTTATTTGTTTAATGTAAGAGAATAATAATAAATATTTATTTAATTAATTTTTCAAATGTAAACTGAACTTTATTGACTTTAATGACTCCTTTTCCAGTCTTTGATTATTTAATTGTAATTAATTATTTGCATGCAATCAAAAACTATTTTTAATAATGCCAAAGAAGTATAACTTCTTACGCGCGTACATAAGTACACGCACCTTTTTTTTTTTATCTCTGTTTGTTTAATTAATTTTTTTATTGTTTTTGTATTGACTGTATTCTTTAATTTAAAAAAAAAATAGCTTCCATTATTTTTCCTTCCATAGTTTTACTCAACAATATATTATAATTCAACAATAATTAAGCGATAATAAACAGGAGAAAACCAAACATTACAGTCAATTCGCAATATTTGTTTACGTATTATTACGTCAAGTGAGAGAAATGGAACGCTAAATCGATTGTTTCCATAGCATCACTAGCTAAATTATATTAAGTTTCTTTATGAATGGATTTTTAGAGTAACGTGGTGGAACGAGCGAGTGGAACAAGGCGAGATGACACAATATTGGCTGGGGCAGCCATTGCAGCATTGCTAGCTTTTCTTTTATTTTGTAAAACACGTCTTCGTTTAACACTTCTATAATTCCTTGGTACTGTTGAGGTTGGAATTGCAAAATCATGGTCAAGATTTCTAAATGTCAGAGTAGGAGATGGCCTCTTACTTAATAACTGGAGGCTGTTCGCGGAGGCGCCAAATACAACCAGGTACTTAAGTTTGCCCTTAATAATTACTTGTAAAAATTGCTTGAATATTCTCAAACATTATCCATGATTTCGATCCTGTTATACGATTTAAAAATAGGTACTGCTGAGAGTTTTTGTACTAAAGTTACTATAAGTTTTATATATTTCATAAAATGTCTTCTAACTCGATGTTAGTCAGCAGTTTTTAATTGAGAGACAGATGCAAAGCACTTGAAATAACGAGAAATGTAAATGTGATTCGCGCTTTGACGCGTAAATATTAATTAAATGTTATTTGTGTAAATGAAAAAATAGCATAAAATTTGCACTCTAATCGTAACGCAAAATGTTGGTATCTTCTAAATCTTCAATAATGTCCCTAATGATATTTAGGTTTACATTCATTTGAGTCAGAAAATAAAGGTTCCACAATTAATAAAATAGTACAGGAATAATATCATGTCTTGTGCCTACGTCACACCAAATAAATTGAATTTATTAAAAAGTTATGTTACTTATAAATTCAATGTATAACGATAAAATTATATTCAAATTTCCAAATTTTATATATGCAATTACTTTAATATATCTCTTAAATATATAATTTTTGTATAAAAATAAATATTTTATCGATATAAAGAGTTTTATTAATATGACTAGTATTTGTAGTTTATATTTATTTATTTATTTGATATCATTTGACTTAATTATGCCAGGCATAAGGTAGTTAAAATTAGCTTTCATTAGCCAAAATCGTCGCTGTGGGATGTCTGATACTCTAGGTAAAAATAAAAGACTATCGGAAAATCTAAATAGTACGAAATATAAAAACTTTGAGAACATACAAAATACTATTTTTAATAAATTAATTTAAAAGGTTGCTAGAATGAAACCAGTTTGACTATTTTATTATTTTTATTGTAATTTTTCATAATACCGCCGCCACACGACGCTCACTGCTCTTGCGTACATCAAACAATTTTATTAAAAATACTAAGTACAAACCAATTTTACTACGATTCAGGATTAAACATATTTTAATTACTATCAATCAATAACAATTAATAGAAGCTTTGATAAGGATAACGATTAAGAATTGTAATTCAATAATTGGTGAATAATATGAGCGTGTTACCAATTACAGAGCAATGAATGTTTTAATAAGTTTTTTCTGTGTCAAAGTTTGGCACTTATACACTCCCATGTTATTACCAATGTGAAATAATTTGAATACGTACGTTATTGATTATAGGTTAATTGAATTTAACTATATGTTATTAAAAAAATCTTGTAAATTGGTCTTGACTAACGTGTTACTTTATATAAATTCAATGGTTAATTAGAAAATGGTACAGTTGTTCTTCAACGTAGCTTAAAATCTTCAGGTGTTTAGCAGAACTATTAAGTCGTATTTGGCTTGCTCTAGCTAATAATAAAGGTTTTTTTATTTATGTATCATTTTCTAACCCATCATAATATACAACGTTACATTTAAAATATAATACTGTTAAAATATTCCAAATTCACCAACGTACCAAAACAAGTCCATCAAGAGCCCAGTAGACCACAACAGTCCTGTTGAAAACCTATTTCTTATCTACTTTTTAAAATCAATAACATTTTTTAGTTTTTACTTAAGTTATAATATCACTATTAACGATCTACGCTGTCATCCCGACATCGAGGCAAAAGACAAGTCGAACGGAGCTACAAACTTATCAGAGAATGCAAAACTATGTCGCATTCCGTTTGATCATCATTGGTTAACAGTGTAGTCTAACTCATAGATATGTCATGGAAGCAAGTCCAATTATAATCAAACGCAATGTTTTTTTTTGTTCTACATTCTCAACACCCGTTCCAGTTGACCATCTTAATTGTTCTATCTCGAGGGAAGCGAGATCAAGTCGAAGAAAATACTTCACCCTTCTAGGAGCTTCTAGACCCGGAGCTAATTAGGTAGTGAATGCTGGCTCATAATCAGTGATTAATAAACATCGAAATTTTAAAGAGAAAACTTTTCAGTCTAGTATAGCGTTATGTCTGTCACACATTACACGATCAATCAAATTACGCGTGGCAGAGACAACTACTGTGGACTAAGATGGATTCGATAAGTTTGTAGACTTTTAGCTGTTTCAAAAATTCTAGATATTAAAAATATAATATCAGATCAGAATCTACAACTTGTACTACGATAGTACAATAATTTATTACGTAAATTAACTCGAATCGAGATGCGTCAGCTCAGAAAAAAATCTACCCGCATAATTTCTTTCGACACACATTTAAAGCTTATTTGAATGTACTATGTCAATTAGGCAAGTAATCAAGATACGACAGTGAACTGTGTCGAAAAAAATTAAACGGTTAATAACCGTTTCCATTTCATAATTTTATATAAAAATCATCACTCTAGTAACAATTCTACTTGAATATCAATATTGTACCTCAATTTCTGTAAGGTAGTTAACATGTTTAAATTTAATTTAGCTTTAAGCCTAGTCTTACACTACGTAGAAGGATTAATTTGTTATTCGTAATAGGTATCAAATAGCTACATACTGTCAAATTGTAAAGATTCTATTTGTAACAAATCTGAGATATAATGGGCACTAGCTTTGCCCGTGCTTGCAGAATGAGCGTGTATTCTTCAAACTAAATGATTCCAAATTCAAACACCGACATTTAAAAATTTTCAACAATCGGCCATATTTGAATTCCAAATCAGCCGTAAAAACACTCGCCCCACTATTCAACATTGAACAAATGCAGTATGAACGTTGGCTACTAGTGATGCGATTAATATGGTTTTTAATGGCTTGAACCCTTTAGTTTCTGATCTTACGTTAACTATAAATAAGGTTTTAATGGAAGGATATTATTTTACAGATTCTAATCAATATTTATATAGAGAGATAGATAGAATTCGCTAGAATATGTTTAGAGTAGCTTACAATCGTGTCGCATTGGAATTAGGCTTTGTATTCAACGTACACGCGTAGGTGCCGACCAGTATACATAATAAGACAAGAATTAAATTTAGCACTCTACAACACTATGTTGTTTTTATAATATTATCAACGTCATACGAAATGTTTGGAGAGAAAAAGTTATTCAAATCTTAATATAATATATAGAAATGGCCACGACGAGGTCGTACAGTTGATTCGATAATAACATCTCTCAATCCTCAACGAATGGTAATGAATGTGCAACTGTTTGACCGGAAGTGGCACCGCTAAGCGTACTACAGAAGGCTAATATTAAATCCAATATTCCTATGTATTTTGTGAAAAAGACGAGCCTCAAATTATTCACTTACTTGTAATATGTCATTAAGCGCATATCCTTATCACAGAATATCATTGTATCTGATTGTCCCGGTTCTTAGATATGTTAATACTTATTCGATTTGTTCGCTTCTTACCAGCAAAAACTTTCGTTTCTCAAATTATATAAAACTTCAAATTACTAAAAGCGAGTCATGGCAGCCAATCTCATTATTGAATTGATATTAGGGATATAGGGCCAATGTGGGGTATTTTAAACACCCATCTTTAATCTTTTATTGTAACGATTTCTGATTGAATTAACGATAACACATCATTTGCTCGGTCACAATTTAACGTTATTGCGACTTTTGATGGTAATATTTATTATTGTAAAGAGATGAGACGCAGGACCAGAAATAATTCGCTTTTATACTTTTAGAAATAATTTATATCGATATTCTTGAAATGCATTTTTGTGCGCTTTTACCAATCAGTTTATATAATTATGTAAAGGAAAGTTCGTACGCAATGCGTGTTGAGCGATTTTGAATTGTTAAAGCTTAACAATACAAACATTACTAACTACGCTATACTATTTATTGCTATTTCAAGGCGGGTTGTCAATATAAAATTTGATGGGAATTCAACAACTGATCGATAAAATGTACCGTTAAAATCTGTTATTTCATCAACAATTAAGACGTTGCCCTAAAGGCTGGCTTAGGGCTTTAATACTATTAGCCCCACTGAGCTACGGCCCGTATTCCAAAACATATCTCAAGTTTTGACAACTGTCAAAATCATTAAAGACAACTCAACTAGTTTTGATCGATTCGATCTCGATTCGGGAATACAGGCCCTTGAGATTGAAATCTACGGACGGTTTACAAGATGTTTCTAGATTTTGAAGATCGCAAGCCAATAATAAACCGTATTTGCTAATAACACTAAGCGGAGCAAAGAATTTTTAAGTTATATGGTTTGCAATATGCAGGCACGTTCTGATATTTTGTGATATTAATAATTTATTGAGTCGTTCAATTTGCCCCGCCCTTCTCTACAAAACAGTGTATTTACAAACTATTTCCGTGCATTGAAAACAATGTTTTACCTACTTTGTATAATATTAAATCCAAAACAGTGAAAATGTATAACATAAATGTATGTATACATTTCAACATTAAAACATCAAACAGTTGATTTACAAAGGTACAAAATCTTTACAAAAATAAATAAACGTAATATCGTAAAGTGTAAACTTTATTTTGGAACTAATTTAAAGCTAACTTATTAAGCACGCAATACATCTTCTAGTCTACATATTACATCTAACTCTTTCTAATAAAAATAATTGCGTAAATATCTATAACTCAAGATCTTCGAATCTTATGGAGTATAAACAGACACAGTTTTGGTACTGTAATTCAGATTTGATGAGATAGACCTGATAGCAATTTAATGTGTCAGCATTTTAACTGACTAAAAAAGTTGACAGTTTGTCCTGTATAAGATTGTTGGAGTTAAATATTTCAGTTTAAGTTTCATCAATGTCGGCTCAGTGGTTATAGGGTATAACCACGACTTTTTGACAAGAATTTGGATCGGTTTTTAAGTCCCTTTTATACAGACTTGTTGTAGTCAAGTTTATTTTTATTAGAAACAGAAGATGACCATATTCCGAGAGGCACCGTAAGGAAAGTATGTTGTATTATTTAATTTATTATTACATTAAAACATAAAGTTATTAACTAAACTGTTGAGATTAAATCCGTTTACACCACTTATTTCAGTCAAATAACAAATATTGAAGGACTTTATAAAATTAACTGGATCTCTTTATTATTCATTTAAATTTTTTTGGTTACCTTTCAGAATACGTCAAACCTCCAATGATATCAAACCAATTATTCTAACATATTAGAGTCTCGTTGAGCATTTTAATTTCAAATATTCAACTAAATACTAAAAGTACCTTTTTAAAAAGGCGATTTTGTACCGTTTAAGCAAAAAAAAACTATACATGCACACAACTGTAGAACTTAGAATCGTATACGTTTCGTAGACGTAGTTCGTAGCTTCGTAGCAACGGTGGTATGTGCTACGGATAAGTTGACTATTGCTATGACATCATTATTAGCAAGCCTCGTAGACAAACACATAAGACGTTACGTAGTGTCTACGTTGCTACAATTAATATCGTAGCCCTTAGAGTACGAAACGGTATAGACATCTATATTTGATCAAGAGGCAATACTTTAGTTGAAATTGATCTTTCTATCTCATTGAAAGGCTCGTTGTTTGAAAAATCCTGCATAATACGATTTCAATGTCAACTAAGAGCTAGCCAAACTAAAATAAGTTAAAACCAAAACACTCTGAAAAACTGTAACACTACCTATCGTTCTAATTACATCTGTCATAAGTCCGCCATTTATACAACTATTTACTCGCTCGGACAATGAAGGTACCCGTACTCCAGACCCAGGCTCACTGCGACGAAGACAAAATACAGTAGGAACATCGTGAAGCCCAGCCCTCTATTCATTTTCCACCTAGAAGAGCAATACATATATATTAATATTTACAATCTCTTAATTAGTAAATAAAAAAACCCCATATGAAAAGATATTAATGGAAACGCTGTCGGCCTAAAGAGCCTAATGAAAATATGATATATTTTTAAAGAAATATCAGGTCATTTAAATAAAACTTAATTAACGAATAAAAACAAATTTATCGGAAGTTCTCCCTCATCACGGTTGTTGAAGAGCGCTTTACATGTCGATTTATAATAAGTAATATTCGCGTAAACCAAAATTAGATATGTGATTCACCGTGACAAAAGCTGATGTTAATATGGCAAACATTTGTGTTCTAATCATATTCATATTGTTACGAAGACTGGTAACAAGAAGAAACATTTCAATGTCTCTTAAACGTTGTTTTGTTTAAAACAAAACCTAAAAGACACGTGTAGCTATTCTACCCGAACCCGAGCTCGTAATAATCTATATATATATATATATATATATATATATATATATGAAAATGTTATGTTGGTTTGTGTACGCTTCAAAAACTCAAAAAGTTCTGCACCGATCCAGCTGAAATTTTAGCATGATATATCCGCATCAAGGATTGTTTTTTGTTTTTTTTTTATTTTTTTCCACAAGAATTGCAAAATTAAACTTATATGAAATATTTTCTTTGTTTCGTTTCTCATTTCTCAATCATTCAATCATGTGCAATGTGCCACAGCGAAGCGTGGCAGGGAACAGCTAGTATCATATATAATCAAATAGTTATCTGTCAACTTGCAGTGACAGTTTTCCGTTGACTAGTTTACATAACTTAAAATTACATAAAAACTTTTTTATTCGTTAAATTTTATATTTAAGTTCATTGATGATGACCGAAATGTATTATGATATTGTAGGGATAATTTATTCTCATTTAAAATGAATTGAACTTACCTGAAGCACGCGATGCTCAGGATCACGAATAGCAGCATAGCAAACAGCAGCACAATGCTACACACCATGCCTTTGGAGTTAACCTGGACCGGCGTACCGTATATCAGTCCATACAACAGCCACGGGAGGGGTAACCTGTAATAAAGATAATAATTTAAGTCAAGATTGTTGTATGGAGTCCACTGAAAATCGGCCTTTGAGAAACCTATAATAAAACTGTGTTTATGATTTGACAAGGTAATGATGTATCACATCACGTGTCTCAGTTTTCATCGTTTCCTTTTCCATTTTCCATTATCTAACAAATTAATGAATAACTATAATTATAACTATTAAGTGTTGTGCTTTCTTATGTAAATTACAAATCATTTATTTATATCGGTAACCCAATGTAGACTAATGAACGTTAAAAAAGAAATATGTATGAAATGCTTCTAATTTTACATTTACTGCCAGTTCTCGAATCAAGGGCGTAGAACGGAAGAGAAGAACTGGCAATAAACTCTCCGACACTATTTTTAATTGCCAAGTTTTTTGTTTTACACAACGTTTGTAAGGAGATGCAACCATTACACCATGTTTCACATGACATCTTAAGTAATTAATAATAATAATAAAAATTAAAAATAAAGATTTGTCCTTTATCAGCAATAGGCATGGTGAAATAGGAGCACGCACTTACATTCTCGAGGGAACAACACGCAAATACATAGTCGAAACAAGTAACATCACCGCATACACGAATTTAAGTCCGACCAGTCACCACAAGTAGCATCCGTTCACGAGTATGACGCATGGCCAGCCATCGCCCGCCTTGCCAGATTTTAGGAAGAGAGATAACCCGACGCATGGACGCCGCCACAAGCGCCTCGATCATGACGATCCGTGAAATGTGAACTTGGCAAACAATACTAGTGTTGTTTCAATTGATATCAACTAAGATAATGTCTATTGATATTCTATAATGCTTTTCGCACTAAACTAGTTTCACTAATTGAAATGGTAGTGTCTCTCTGGTCAGATAATTAAATTCAACTCCTTGAGATGAGAACATTAATCTTATTGTTATGTCTCACCATTCATGTGATTCTTTTTTTGCGTTTTAGTTACTTTCAGTTTTAATTTTAGCCCCACGTGTACAATTAAATAAAAGTAAAATATTTTTTTTACAGATAGTAAGTAGCACTCTTTATATGAAGGCGTAAGTAATTAAGGAGTGGATCGTGGAATAGCGATATATTTTTTCGAAATGCTTTATTTGTAGTTTCTCATTTTACTTTTATGTACTTATTTATGTTCATATTAATTTACGAAAAATAAACCTGTGTATATATAATGGTTTCTTACTATAAAAATTATCATACGCGAAATGATCTTTCTATATTTTACTATAAACCAATAATAAAACTCAGTTAAATAACTACAATAGAAAAATGATTAATTGTTATATTTGTTTAAAATTAGGAAAAACGGCCCAGGGCACGCAAACTATTTCCTCTGGCATTTTCTTGACCCCACATTTGGGCCAAGGCTCCTAAATTGCGTAGATGAATATCAAAAGGCTGTGTGGGGATCATTTACGACTATCGCTAAGGTCACGCCATGTTACTTAACTTTGAACTTTCGTGTAACATTCGAAAACAGGCTAAAGAAAGGCTGAGCTTTGGCAATTACATCTACTCGTAGTAAGTTTCGTTAAGGACAAAATACCATCGGGTTAAACTTATGTACTTATAATAAATGTTATAAAGCTTATACTTTTAAAATATTAATTCCTTAAATAAATTCGATTTAAAAATGGAACTAGTAAAAACAAAGGTAACATAATGTACCTTACAATGTATCAATTGTATAATATTTTGCTTATGATATGTAATGCTTTTTTTTAAATTGTCTGTGGTAACACACAAGAATATTTCCTGCAGTTAGATGCAAAGAGATTTCTAGGAGGTTACTTACTCTGTATTCATAAACGTAAAAATCTAGATTTAATTTGTTGCTTTTATTTATCTTCTAAGTGACAAGACAAGAAAATAAATCAAAGAAAATAATCAATAGTTATTTGAGTTGTTTAGTTATATAAGAGATGATTGCGTTTTAAATTGTAGAAGTTCTTTAATTATTATATGTGTTAGATCAATATTATTGACGTGAACAAATGAATAATTGTTCAAGCACCGTGTCTCCTAGGAAAAGTACTGTTGAATGAAAATTAGTGTGTTTTAGAACATATTCCGTTCTAAACTTCAACGTTTTGTGAACGTGATAGCAATAAGCAACTTTTAACCCCAAAGTCGTACGTTCTAACACTGGCTGTACCCCAATGGATTTTCTGTTTGCCCAACTAACAATAACTTGTACCGTGAAGACATCGTGAGACATGTCACGTAAATTAATGACGTGAGTTACGCACAGAGGGCATCACCCTTTGCCAAGAAAAATAATCAATGAAACAGATACAGATATCTAAGGCTTCATATACTCAGATTCAGTCGACATAAGAACAGTGACATTCACAATAGGGATACAAGAAATAAGGGAAAACTTTTCCAGCAAAATAAATACTTCATTTATGGGCCTAAGTGTTCTCTGCCATAACATGATTCCTAGTGAAATATTGGAACTGATTATAAACAGATTCAAAACACATATCAAAAAAACCTAATTGTGTAAAGGTTACTACACAGTCAATGACTACCTGGAAGATAAAAACGCTTAGCAATAGTTGTAATTATATTCTTATAATTTGATTTGTGTGAATGTGGTAAATCACAGAACAGATTTTTATATTTTTTTACTTATGTAACTTTAATGACGTTGTGGTTTATGACATTTTCCTTTGAATAATTGTAATTTAGAGGGAGGGTAAAACTTGCTGAGTTTCTTGCCCGTTCTTCTCAGAACAAGGCCTCCTGGTAGTTTTGCGAACGGACGGCATAGTCTTGCTCTTTCGCGAATTTTGTAAACGTTTTTGACATTCATAAGCATGCCCTAAGACGCATCTAAATTGAATAATTTTGATTGATTTGATTTGATAACGACTCCTGTATTTCAGTTCTTAGAGTTGAGTTTCTCTTACCTATAAAGTGTTTTGACATTACAGAGTTGACATTACAGAGTAATTATGACTAAATTATAGAAGTATTTGTTATATTATAAATCGCTACATCCTATTTATTGTACTTTGACGTTAATGTAGGTGAAATATAAGTCACAATTGGCGGCCATTAGACATTTCTCTGCCCCACTTTCCTTGATTTATGTCCAACAAAAGGAGCTTTTAGGGACGTATTGATTCCTTTATATAGGTTAGCGTGTGAATTATAAAACTTCTGCTTTCAATTGTTTTATGAAAAAATAAACGATTTTTGTTTAGTTAATTATGTATCTTTAATAAATGAATAAAATAAATTGTACTATTTAAATTATTAATAAGAAAGATCACGCGAAAGTTTTTTTGTTTGTTATCGCTAGTCTACGTTATTTTGTTTTATTAAAATCATTGCCCAATGACAAAAGATATCAGTGTTGACAGAATAATGGATAATTATTATAAATAAGCTTGCAGATGCGTCAAATACATATAGAACCGCAATTATAATTTAAGCTTAGTGCTTTTCACTGCCTTAGGTAATGTGGTCTGTGGGAATTGTGGGAACCATACATCTAAATTGCTTTCCAATAGAGATTAACTGCTTAGAGATAAAATAAGCAAATTCAATTCAGTATTCTAACTCTTATATTAAAAGTTAACATTTAAAAAATACATTTACGCAGAAATTAGACAGTGGTCAGCAATATATTGAATAATGTAATAAATTCGCTTGCATTTGAGAAAGTTAGAAATTATGTTCGTAGCAAACTAACAGAAGTTTTGTTCTACGGTACCTTGGGTGATATATCGGTCATGGTTAAATCTCTCGTTGCCTTAGAATGTTCAGCTAAGAAACATAAAACATTAAGTTTCTGGGCGTTACGTCTTCTAAAAATATATCAACGCAATGGAATTAGGACGTACTTTAAAGTAAAGTAATTATTAAAAACATAAAATATATGATAAAACTAGCCTCGCTCGTATGACTTAAGATATGGAAATAGTTATATTAAGGCATCGTTTCACAAGAGGGGGTCGGGACCCTTGGGGGTCGAGTTTGTTTTAAAAGGGGGTCGCAGTCTGTTGAAAAATATATACAAAAGATTTGTTTATTAAACGAATGAATAATTATAGTGTAGTATTATAAAACTAAATTATAATTTTACAGTGACGCGGTCGGGAGACTTTTTTACTTTTTGCTTTTTCGTGGGTCGTGACATAAAAATGCTTGAGAAACGATCTATTATGGAAAGCATGAAAACAGTTATTAACTTACTTTATAAATAAAATAAGATGCAATAGCCATTTCCACGTTAAGTTAAGACATACTTTGACAAAACAACAAAGCCCTGACACTGTAGGGTTGTCAAAATCTTTTATGAAATCGTACTAAAAACGAGTTAAACATTTTACTAGATAGGTTCGGGTTATACATAACAGCCTGTTTACGGACAAGATGTAAATAAACATATTCTTTTCACTAAAACTTTTCTAAAATGCAATTGCCATGCCAATCCTCATGAATGAATATCTATTTTGTTTTACCGTGCCCTCCAACCTGATTCACTTAAAATTAGTGAAATCATTACGTTTCATAATACATAATCTACTGTGGAAAGTGCAATGCTTGTGCCTACGTAAGTCGTTATTTATTTAGGCCAGAACCATTTCTATCAATGGCAACCCTAGTGGCAAGAACAGTAGGTTCTATAGAGGCTTTGGAACCGAGCCAAAGGTTATATAAAAATAAGCGGAGAATATTATAATTGTCTTTTCCATTTTAAAATTTGCTCATATTTCTTTTTAATGCTTTTTATCTCTGTAAAAAGGATGCTGTGTTATATTATGATAGAACGTTATATTAAACAATTCATAAACTAAAATGTCTTTCACTGTCTTATGCTCAAGAAAGTTATTAGTCGTTGTAAACTATATTACCATGATAATGCTACTCAATTGCCACTACACTTATATTATTAATTATTAATAATAATATTTATAAGTGGTGCTAGAAACCCATGCCTTAGTGACGCGAATTCCATTCCATATATTTTTTTTAATGTAGTAGGAAGCAAACGGGACGGAGGATCATCTGATGTTAAGTGACCGCCTATGACGCCTCACATTGCCAGCAGGCTCGCAAGTGCGTTACCGACCTTATATATATATATGGACTTTTTATGTAAGATTGCATATATATCTTATACATAAATTACATAAATTACGTGTCACGTTGTTTGTCCGCTATGGACTACTAAACTACCGAACCGATATCAATTAAATTTGCACACCGTGTGTAGTTTGATCCAACTTAAAAGATAGGATAGCTTACAGCTCAATTTATACCCGCAATATTATTTTATTGCAAAATATTTGTTTATTATTTGATAGTCACAATTCTAACAGATGGCGCTGTGTTGAAAGTACCAACGTTTCACATAAGCTACATTTTAATGGCATAACCACCAAAAAAGCATGGTGGTCCCCATGACTGGTGTTCTCCTACCGTTTCCCTTGAATAGTTTACTACTATGTAATATAACAAAAATCTTAGCCACAGCAACGCTTGGCCGAGTCTGCTAGTAAACATATAGTTTTTTTTTATCCCATTATAAAAGCCTATTGTAAAATACAATGAATGAAAGTCACTCTATCCAAATTCTAAGTAGACCAAGTCAGCGGTATAAGTCGACACTTTAACTTATCTATCACTTAATGAAAGAAACGGAATCGTGTCAAAATTGAATTTTCTTATATAAGTAGACTTGAAATTGGCTAGAGAAGAGTTTTCTAATCTCCGTGAGCAGCCAAAGAGCGGTGGAAAGCGCTGAGTGTGCAAATGTCAAGGGGACATGATCAAGAGTGACGGTTCAAGGTTCTTTGTTTCATGTTAAGGTTGTCTGGTACATTAGAGCCACAAATGCCAGTTATGGCACGTGACTTAGTGTAAGATTTTAGAGGACTTTACTCTATATTTACGAAAGCGTAAAAACTTATTTTGACATTTTTCCTAAACTTATAAAACTACTAAACTTGATATGTCATGTGGAACATAGTGTAATGGCTGCAGCTTACAAACGTTGTGTAAAAAAAAATGGCGCTTTAAAAGAGTGGCGGAGATTTTATTGCCAGTTCTTCTCTCCCGTTCTACGCCCTTGATTTGAGAACTGGCAGTAAATGTAAAATTAGAAGCATTAATATGTATTTCTTTACTGACGAGTCATAAGTGTAAATTATGTTACCTATATGATTAAATGATTTTTTACTTTACTTTACTTTAATATAATCATGTTAGTTTTTGTAAAATCTATTTTAATTCATATTCTGTTATTATGAAAATTGGCATATAAGCAAACAAAAGGATTTGTTTTGAAATAAAATAAAAATAATAACATTAAATTACACAGTTCTAGAAGAATCACATGAAGAATCAAATCCGTCACTTTACTTTACTAATTTGAAATTTAAAACAAATGGACTTTGTTTTTTTAATGTAGCCGTAATATTTAGTCAATGTAGTATGCAAATATGATAAAAAGTTGATTTTGGATTTTTTCAAATCCAACATTGTTCTAGAAAAATCGCGATATATCATTCAAAATCGAATGAAGCAATAAACAAGACTAAATAAGCAGAGTTGAAAGAAGCCTGCGTACTCCAGAACTCAGTAAAAATTACAGAAAAGAAGGCTTGATGTATGAAACAAATATAAATAATTAATCTTAACTAGATTGTAGTATGAGTATAACCTGTATATGCTTGCCTAATAGTACAATTGTTCTTGGTTATTTAGGCCCCAAAAATCAATTTCCCTTGTGAACTATGAAAAATTATCAGCGAAATAAACGCTAAGCAACCAGAATATATTCAGGCTGTTATTCTCTATTATTATATAAAAACCGTTATTAATGAGTCCTGTAAATTCTATAAAAAGCAAATACGCAGGTTGAGAATTGTTAGCTATATTTTAAAGGTTAGGTTTCCTGGCTACCCGACACACTTGTTGTTTCGTAATACCCAATTCCCGTTGACTACTAGTTTTAGTTTTATTACACATGTATAAAAAACAAGCAATTACGAATGCATAGTTTTATATAGAACCCGGACGTTATTAATTGAATACAAGGACATATAACTATGTTCATTACACTTTATTCACAACGAAATACGTTTAACCACGGCAATACATTATGACCATTACCGCAGACCTGCTGTTCCTAGATAAACTGCCACATAAATCCTCACACGTGTTCCAAATATAATATACCTAAAACAGACCGTATACCGTTAAGATTAAAGTCAGGAATCCGAACCGCTGTGACGGGAATAAAACATACAATTCAGATGGAATTCTACCACTTTCCGCAGCGCTATAAAATTTATTTTATGCATTTCATCAAATCGTGATTGATGGCTTGGGGTTTTCAGTTATCTAACCGTTTCCCTTGAATAGTTATCTAACTATAAACCCCAAGCCAGTCTTATTGTTCAAAACTGCTTATTGTTAAAAGCTTAAAGATGGCTTATTGATGACACAGGCACAATCTTAATATATGTAAATTACGCGTCACATTATGGACTCTTAAACAACAGAACCGATTTAAATGAAATTTGTACACCGTGTGCAGTTTGATCTAACTTAAAAGATAGGCTTGCTTACATCTCAATTTATACCCGCAATATTATTTTATTGCAAAATATTTGTTTATTATTTCATAGTCAAAATTCTAACAGTTGGCGCTGTATTGTATTGTACTAACGTTTCACATAAGCAACAATTTAATGGCATAGCCACCAATTAAGCATGGTGGTCTCCATGACTGGTGTGCCTACCGTTTCCCTTGAATAGTTCACTACTTAATAAAAACCTTAGCCACAGCAACGCTTGGCCGGTATGCTAGTTTAAAATATTTTTTATTGTTAATTGTAGTCAACGCAGGAAGCGTATTTTCATAAATCACATATACTCTAAACATGTGATATGAAAAATTATATAATTATAGTAGCAATGAATTTATATCACTTCGGCAGTGCTCCATGGGTGTATTTGAAGCCTAACGGAAGCCCAATTATACTTGGAAATTGGAATATTATTCGCGTAGTAATAGTTTACTACGTTTTACAAAATGAATGAAAAGTATATATTATTCAGTAACTGACAACGTTGTTTCAGTGTATAGCAAATTTATTACAATATTATCGAACACTTTGTATTAGGTTACCGTAGTAATAACGACTGATTATTTAATTAAATGCTATTTTGTGCATCATGATACATTTTCATTCAAAGATTAAGGTTTTACTGTGACCTCAATTGCAATCTTAAAAGTAGCATTGTCTCAAAACTTTTGCATTCAAATTCTTAGTCTTTTTGCCTCATAAATCTCTATGGATTAAAAAAATACGTTAAAAGATATTTAACGTTAGAATAATTCAAGCTGAATCAAAAATACTCTCCAGACAAACCGTTGTGGATGCACTTTTATTTTTGTCTGTACATCGTCTGTAGACTTCCGATCGATATTGCAAGCACAACGTGGACCTTAACCAGTTGTCATAAGGACTAGATTCGTACATTTAAACTTTGGCGGTGTCCAAAAGAATCAGAACCTTCTGTGCATGAATTAAAGTCGATTTCTCATTGATAATTTGAAGAGGGGTTGTGTACAAAATTGCTTATCTATAAAAATTTAAGTACAAGTTTTACAAAGTTGAAATTAATCCCCACTAAATCGGATATTGCTAAAATGATGTCCGAAGGCTGGTTGGTTGACAGGGAAAAACAGCTTCTATTAGCTTTTGAAGCTTTTCTATAGATTGTAATTTATAACTTATTTAACAAAAAGCTTTTAATTTTATGGTTTAATTAGCTATCGAGGTAATTATCTAAATATGAATTTTATTATTGCATATTTTATAAAACCCGTCATAGACTAGTTTCTCTAGGATTATATGGACAACACTCTATTCAAAGACCTGAAGTCTGATCCTGCTTTATAAATATAAGTCACTATTTAGCGTCTGTCAATCAAAATCCTAACCTTTATCGCTGAATCTTTGACTTAAGTATTAGTGTGTATAGCACTGCCTTCATTCGAAAATAATAATTTAGAATGATTTGATGAAGAGATGCTGGTAGATCTCGATATGTTCAAAATATATTTACCAGCTAGAGGGTTGGTATAATTTTAGCCTTTGTATTAATGTGGATGTTACACTTAATGAACGTAATTTGTTAGGTATTTAAGTGTAAGAAGGGCAAAATTCAAGGCAAGAGACGGGCTGCGGAACGTACGGGAGTGGCATCACATCCGCCGAGGAACTTTTTAGACTAGCGCAAGATACCTGGCAAATCAAGTTGCTAACAGTCAACGTGGCAAAAAGTGGCATCAGAAGTAGCGGAAGAATCGATATTTTAAAGCACGTGTACTGATGAGAGTTTTGTATAAGTGTGTTTCTGGATAGTTTAAACACACATTTGACATTTATGTGTTTCCGAGCTAATGTTCAAAACGCTTACGTTAATACGCTAAAGCTGTATAAAAACCACAGATTAACCTCTTAGTCGTAAACGGATACACAATTCAATTAGTTAAAGAATGTATTGCCGTCATTAATTAATATCAACGTGACGCCAGAGGAAAATCTTCCCGATTTTTTTATTTGTCTTTATTTTATTATAGGAAATTATCCTTCAATATTTTACTTAAATAGCTTGTATACTCACCCCACAGTGACATCGAAGATATTGCTTCCGACTGAGCTCGACACAGCCATATCCCCGAAGCCCTTCCTGGCGACTATCACCGAAGTGATCAGGTCAGGCACAGAAGTCCCCGCAGCGAGGAGCGTGAGCCCCATAACCTCGGGAGGCACATGGGCCGTCGCCCCCGCAATGTTCGCCCACCACACCATGAGGTAGGAGAAAAATGCTATCCACACTATCGACCCTATAAATGTTATAGGGAATAGCGTCTTCCCTGAAAAGAAAAACGTTTTATTGGAGGGTAAACAGTCAGTAGTAGAAATAAACAAAATTCATCACGTTTCATTGGAGGATAGCAAGAAAGAAAGAACAATTGTTTAATAATTGATGCTTACACCAAAAAAGAAAAACAAAACCACCAAAAAAGGACTGTCACTAGCAACGCTGATTTTCAGTGGGCCCCATACGGTATTGGAGAGAGTTTCACCCATAATACAATACACGCTGAACAGTAACGTTAATAATTGAAGTTATTAGTTGGGGTGCTCTTTATAAAATTACAAATAGTTAACATGATAAATAACCGCAACTTAAGCCGGTAAAACCGTTCTTTGAAATGCTGAAAATCATTTACGTATTTGTGTAATATTTTTATAGAAAAGGGCAGAGAGCTCATCTAATCATATGAGTTATCGGCGGTGTCATAGACACAATAGCGTTGTATAAGACATATTACATTGTCATAGTAACCCAAAAAATAAACGGAAGCGCCCTGGTATTTTTTTTCAAGTCAACCATAGTCATCTTCCTGACTTGTGAAAAATAAATTTCTATCTAATATTTCAATAAATAAACCAAATTACCGTCCCAAAGCCTATTTCGACACATGCGAAACTTTAATAGCTATTATTTAAATTAATAAAATAAAATCAATAACGTGTGTTTAAAGCAGTGTCGCCTTATCAATGGATAGTTATTATTAAAACCCGATATTACGATTAATACTAGTAATAGTATTTTTTTACAGGGACCTATACATATACCACATGTGCCTCGCAAACTGCGTAAAATAAATTGATTAGTCATTACATCAACACGTGGTAAAAGATAGCAAAATATCGTCAGAGGTTGCAGGCTGTAAACACAGCAATTGGAGGCTAAATCCAATTCGTAGCGCGTAATGGAAGCTTGTCAGTGCCTAATCGCCTCTGAATGCTCCAATGCTAATTGCATTAGACTCCGATCGAATCCCGGCTATAACACCGTTATGGAATACATTGCGACAGTTTGATATGGCTTATGTGTTTGCGAGATGTATCTTAATTCCTGGGAACGTGTTCTGCATTTGTCATTTGTTTTTATATGGCTTTTTGACCTGATCATAAATAATCACAGCAAATCGCTACTGCTATTAACAGAAATTAAGTATGAAAGTTGTATTAGCGGTTAAACAAACATCGTTTTAGACAGTAAGCGGATTACGACCAAACATTGATAATTATACGCCTTGAAATCGTTTCTTTATGTGGTTCGTGTTGAAAACTTCCGGACTGAGTGCACATAATATAGTTGGAAAATGAGTTATTCAAAAATGTAAATATAATTTATTCATTAGTTAGTTTGCGTTAAGTTATGCGTCTATCATTTACTGCCAAATCAAGGGCGTAGAATGCGAAAACTGGCATTAAAGACTCCGTTCCCCCTTGAAATCGCCAAGGTTTATAAACACCTGCAACTATTATGCTCCCCATCACATGTTAAAACAATAAATTATTGTAATTAAATAAAAGATATACCACAAGGACTATAACAATATTTGCGTCGTTAAAAAGTCATCGGTAACTTCTCAAGTATGTTGTGGCTGATAAACGATTAGTTAACTCTGGCGCGTGTATTTATAGGCTGTGGCAACATTATCATAATATAACAATTGACAATCTGTTTAGTTAGCTATAAAGCCTTACGATCAATCTGGAGCAAATGGTTATTAATGGCATTGATATAATGTGTGGATAGAATAGTTAACACTTATTACTGCAGTTATGTTCAACATAATGGCTTAAACGATTTTATCTCTATTGGGTTGCTATGACATAATTTACCTTAGTTACAAATGATGTTACGTAATTACACCATAGGCTGATGAAAGTTTCTTCAGATATATAATCTGAGTATATTTTTAACTATTTTAAATTAAGAATAATTACGAATGTAGGTTATATTTGTATTTGGTTATAAGAGCAAGCATTTCTCCCTTTTCTGTGACGTGACTTCAACGGCAGATCGCGTGGCGAGTTGCGGACAAGGCTACGCTGTTACCGTGTTTTGCCTTACGTATGCACATTAGCGAGTCCAACATGCTCTCGACAAGACACATTACATCATGTGCAACACATTGCATCACGAAAAATAAATGTTTGTTTTTGAAGTGAAACTTCTTTATCGAGGTTGGAAAAAAATTTAGTGTAACATTTTTTCGTTACGCGTCACATTTTTCGGTTACGCGCCATGTTGCTTTTTGAAGTCAAACTTCTTTATCGGCGTTGGAATGAAACTTCTTTATCGACGTATGGGAGAAATTTTGTAGCAAATCGTCACGTTTTTCAATGATAGTAATAATTCTATTACAATTAATAAAATTCTATAATAATCTTCGTAGTAATAAGGTAAAATGAAATATTTGTATTCATGTCTATGATAATAAAAGCCTTTTGTTAAACTTTATCTAATTTAACGAATTTCTATAAAGTTGCATATAGTAGATCATTTTTCGAAAAATAAGATCATAAAGAAGTTTCACTTCTTACGTGTGTACACCTAGTACACGCACAATTTTTTTTTTTATATTATCAAGCAGCAACAAGTTTTATTTAGGTTGATAGGTTTCATTTCATTACATTGATACGTTGTTTGGTGGTTAGGCTCTATTAGATTCTTAAAGTTAGTCGCTGAGCATAGACAGAATCTAATAGACAATTAAGCCAAGTGCCTTTAAATTCAGGGTCGCATAATCTGACCCTGAATTACATACTTGAATAGGATAGATATATTTACCTCTCGGCGTCCTTGTGTCCGGGAGGGTGATCCATAATGGGAAGACAATTGGTGCGACCAACAAATACGTCAGTCGTTTCCGGAAACCCGACGGCCACGACATGTCTAGCGGTGTCGTGTCATCTTCTAAGTCTCCTATCTGTAACACAATGAACAATTAAAATAAAAATGACAAAAAAACTGTTTCTAGTTTAAGCCTAAGAGCCGAAACTACCCTGATTCCGGATGACTTTATTGATTCTCTAAAGATATGAAACTTTTTAAAAACGTCTTATACTAGATATATACGAACAGTATTTAAATCTTTTTCACGAATTAACCTAATTAATTGAAAGCATATTATTGTGTTTATTAAAATAAGTTTATTAATTACTAAGAAAGTTGTTAGAATTTTTTCTACACACTTAGTACGTAACAATACAAAAGAGATATGGTAGAAGTAAAAGATTTTCGCCTTCCTAATGAATCATTCGATTCAGTCGATGTCAATTTCTTGACACAGGCCTTTCCCCTTGACTGATTTTCCATGCTCTCTCCTAATTAAGGTCATAGTGATTTTTAAGATATTCAAATGAACATAGAACACACGAAAGTTCTAAAAGTTCAGTTCTAATTATAATAGAAAGCTTGAGATATGGAGGCGAAGATTATATCTTACAAACAATTAAGCGATTCCTCACAATCACTGTAAGTCTTCTTGGTTATTTCCTGTTCCTGTGCTCTCAGCTTTATTGTTATACTAGCTGTGCTTCATGTTCTACTCGAATTAATTCAGTCGTAGCACGATGTTTTAAAGCCTAAACCATTTCTCAGTAAATAGACTTTTAAATGCAAAAATAATATTTTATTGTTACATATATCGCGGACTTCTTTTTGTATCTATATATATATATATATATATATATATATTTTGATGTCTTCAACAGTAATATATACTGTTGTATATTATATATATAATAAAACTGTAGTATATCACTTTCCTTTATTGTCAATACTTTCCGCAGCGTATGCGATATAGGAATTTTTTTCGGTCTTTTTCACACCGTACACCATCGTAATTTCATACAAAACTCGTATCTTTTGTGATAATATTCTAAAGCCTTAGTTTATCCGGGATAACGTAGGATTCAAATGCTGAAAGAATTTTTCAAATCAATCCAGTAGTTTTCAATGCGAACAAATTTTTCCTCTTTATAATACTAGTGTAGATTAGGCTATATAAATATATCCCGTCTGCCAAGTTATATTCATAACTTTTTCAAACACATCATCTTTTTGAAATTTTGAATTAAGAATTACTATATAACCTAAATAAGCTTATGATATTTCAGTAGCATTTGCAAAAGCGCTATAATGTTATATTGAATAAACTTTAGCGGAAAATTAACGCAGATGTATGCAAAATATGTGATAAACTGTGTCATACATTCAGAGTGACCTTGTACTAGTCTTGCCAAGCGCTTTAACTGCAGAGATAACTGAGCAACAACTTAAAATTTATTTGCTAATTACAAGTTCTATGTCTTGGAAACTTTATCTTAAGATCTTGTAAATGATGGCCGTGGTTGGAAGGTTAGATAAGCCAAATATTATGTGGGAATAAAATTCTTTGATAATTAAATGGGACTTATGTGAGAGAGAGAAAAACAGCGAATTACTATAGTAGGCTGTACGATGTTAGTTTTCAATCAAATTTAATAATTATCCGAAGAAACATAGAAATTATTGATGTTTACAAATCTTTACATTTCGCTAATTCTTCTAGCAGTAATGTACTACCTGAGGTCGTAGGTTCAAACCCCAGCTGTGCACTAATGGATTTCTAATCTATGTGCGCATTATACAGTCGCTTGTACGGTAAAGGAGAACATTATAAGGAAACCGGCATGTTTAAGACCCAAAAAGCCGACAGCGTGTGTCAGGAACAGAAGATTGATCATCTATAAAAAAAAAATACGAAACAGCTACAGAAATCAGAGGCCCACCTATAAGGCCATAGCACTACTGTTTTTTTTAGTATTCCACCTTTTAATAGTGTGTAATACACGAAAATTTTTACTAAAACCTATGGTAAAAATTCAAAAATTCTTACATAAAAATAAAACTCGTGAAAATTTATGGATGAAGAATCCGGGAGTGAATGCCTGAAGTGTACAAATGTCGCATACAGAGATATTTCATGTATGTATATCGTAGAACCTCGAGAGACATTAGAAGCAAGTCAAATATGAATCCAGGCCAAGAGATCGTTTGTAGGATGCTTAGTTGTATAGTGTGAAGCGAAACATTTTAATTTTGTTCACTACATACTTATAGACGCTTTGTGTGTAATATTCTCTGATATGAATCTGTTTAACTCTTTTAGTGCTGTATAAAATATTTTAATTGATTTAAGTATGTGCTTTATTTATATCTTTATAAATATTTCTAATTTGTGTATATATAATTTGTGTTGTAACTACAGAATCGAGTTAAAATTTTCGTTATAACGGTCGAAAGTTGAATTGTTTATGAGAATAATGAAATTATTTATTAAATAATAGTAGTTGCATATCATGTTTTACCATTGAATCGACAATTTGTTATTAAATAAGTTTGTGTTATCAACTTGTCTATTAATAATAAAAGCAATTGTAGCAAAGAAAGCTCGCTTTCTTTATAAAACAATGTTCGTTAGTTGTTTCTTATTTCATTAAAGTCAAAGAAACTTTAGAACTTTGATTTTATTTAAATACCTTGGAGATATTTTCGATATCAACTTAGCAATTGACGATTAACTCGGCCATGGCCAATCGTAATATCAATTAAATATATTTAAATTAATAATTATTAATTAAAAAGTGTGTTTTAGTAGACTCATAAATCTAACATCACATTTGACTAAATTATAATTTTGATAATTAATTTTACGATGTATACATACTACTTAACCTGTAATAAAGCCTTCGTAGGAAGGCTTCAATCACTAAGTATACACTCATACCCACACGGTTAAGCATAGCAAAAAAAGGAAAAAAAAAAGGTGGTGCTACAAACTCTTTAGGTCTGGATCTCAGGTTTCCGAATCTGTTTCATGATTATTCATGAATCTAAATGGCAAGTAGGTGATCAGCCTCCTGTGCCTGACACACGCCGTCGACTTTTTGGGTCTAAGACATGTCGGTGTGTACGCATAGAAACAGATAACAAAAAAATAAACGTTACCTCTTCTATAACATCTAACTGTACATCCGCAAGGCCTCCATTGGGCAAGTCCAGCGGGGTTTCTTTCGCTTGAGCTGCTGCGTTCTTCGCCGCCACCGCCCCAGCACCGCCCGCCGTCGGCCTCGTCGCCTCCAGAAGCACTTTCAGCGACGCTATTGCATGTAGCTGCGTGGCTTTCTCATCTACTTTACCTGTACGAATCAATTTTGTTAGAGACTTTGATGATACTCTGTCCAACGATTTTGATGGACATGTTGAAGTATATTTTAAAGGATTGTTTTCTTTGCCTGTGTAGGATTAGTATTTAGTTTGGCTTTATAAAAATATTTTTTTACGAAAATATACAAATGGGTTTTTTAAATATTTAGTACTGCATTTTGTCGTAATGTATACCCACGGTTCAAATAAAAAATGTCTCTATCTTATCTTGGCAAATTTGAACAAGCATTAAATTCGTAAAAAAAAATTTGATGTCATTGTTTAAGAGTATACAAAATACTTGTAGAAATAAATTAGAAAATATTAATAGAATTTTTGGTGCTTAAAAGCTGTGTTGCTGAAAGCTAAACGTGTTAAAAATAATAATATTGTAAGAGATTGTGAAGCGAGTGCATATTGTTGGGCTCTGAGATTTATAAAAAAACTTGCTGACCCGGCAAACGTTTGTTTTGCCATATATTATATTATTTCTAGGAAAAATTTTTTAGTTCAATAAAAATAATTATCTACAATAATAAAAAATAGGGGTTGTATGCATTTTTGTATGCTGTATTATAAAAAAATAAAAACCTTTTTTTTTCTAAAAAAAAAAAATTGGAGTGGACAACCCTTATCACTTAGGGCTTTGAAATATAGATGGTAGTCGATTCCCAGACATACTGAATATTCATAAAAAAATTCATAAGAATCGGTCGAGCCGTTTCGGAGGAGTATGGGAACGAACATTGTGACACGAGAATTTTATATATATATATAGAGTTTTCGTCAATTATTTGTAAAGAAAGGTTTAAATGTCTGTTTAAATGCTTTTGATAAAACTATAATAATAAAATTTAGTTTTATCAAAAGATACTCTTTTAAAGTAATAGCCGTTTTCACAATCATCCATTAAGTTAACTCTTATCATAGATTTACAATTATATTTGTAAAAATTATAGCATATAAGGCACTAAATTTAACGTTAGTATTAAATAGACTATGCTTTCTTGCCGGCGTTAGGCATTTGCGTCCAGTCGGACCTACAATAAACAAAGATCTTTACAAATGGGTTGAGTAACTGTGATCTCTTAACAAACGACTGTAACTATTATTTATGTGCTTGATATTCATTCAGGACCTTAGATGAATATAGTTTAGCCACATATCAGACTTGTTCAAAGCATTACAATTACACCGATAAAAGCGTTTATTAACTGTCAAAATGAAACATTTTTCTTTCCATAAAAATATGAAACAACAAAGAATTCGTTTGTCTAAAGAAGTAGGTCAAAGGAAACGATATCGGACGTTATGCCTTATCTTGGTGCGTTACCGAAATACTTCACGCAATTCAGCCGAAAGACACCGTATTCCCAGAACCGTTTTCGATAACACCAGGGTTTCGCATTAACTATTACGAATAATGTAATAATAATAAACATTATTAATATAATCATAAACATAATTTATCACAAAATAGTTCCGACGCTAGTCCCCAAACTGTGACGATGCTCTGTCGTGGTATATAGTTCATAAATCAAAAGGAATATTTAAGAAAAAGTCTGAACTTAAATCTAATTTACGAACACATAAATATTTTAAATATGCGTGGATGAATATTTTAACCGTGTGTGTGCGTGAGAGCGTATGTGAATATGTAGATATTAATATTAAAAAACCGTGCTTAAATTTCTATCAATAGGGAATATATATTATATACATTAAGGTTATTTTTGCATATATTACAATTTTTAAACTATTCAACCGTAAAAAGTAATATCGTAATACACCAGAGTAAAAAAAAACATTTAAAGCACATATTACCAGATTAATAAGTATAGTTATAACAATGATACAACAAGTTGTTTAATTTAAAACATATCTTTAATACAACTTTATTTCTTAATACACGCTCAAGATCACTTGATAGTTGATAAAGTAAGGAATAACTATTATAAGTTTCATCATTTCAACGCTTTGCTAAGGTTTTTGGCAAGCCGCCAGTAGTTTGTACTTGTAGACCGTAACCTCTACGAGAGAGGAGTGCTACGAATATGTTATTAGCGCTCGTAGCACGTTGAGATATCGTAATGTAATTTGGCAGTTTGTAGAGAGGTCAATCTAGGAACTCTGTAACTAGTCTTTTAGTATTGTGTTGACATTTAAGAAAAGGCAACTACGTGCTTTACGACCATTACTCAAAACAAGGAGAATCGTGTTGCCAATTTTACATTGTATGTCATTATTACTTATGTAACCAACATATATTGAAAAAGTCTCAATTCGACATTCAACATAAAAATTTAAAATAAATACAATGGAACACATTTTAATCTAAACTTAATCGGATAGTCTTAACTCAGACGAAGCTAATGAAATAACCATTTTATAAATTATAATACATTCTTATAAGTATGAATTCTACTCCATTTTTATTTAAATTTGGCATTCAAAGTTACAGGTTCTGATCGTTGACATTTATATATTAGGGCCTTTGTGAAACTTCGCCGCTGTCAGTGCGAGCGATAGCCACAGAGATGCATCAGTTCAATAAGATCTTATCTTATAACGTATACCCGGTTAAATTCGATTTACTATATCGATTCACGTTGATTGAATAAAATTCTAGAATATGCTCTTAACGGTATTTACTCTATTAGAACCATACTCTGGTAGCAGCAAAGACTGTGTTTATTTTAATCATTTATGTTTATAATAATAATGTTGAGATCAGGCTTTTATATCTTTTAAGTTGTAGCATCGGTGGTAATCAAAATCAGGACTTCCAGAAAGATGACTTTATAGTCCAGTTTATATTGGAGCCATAAGTGTATAAAACAAAGAGAAGTTCTGAATTGACTCCTCTCTGAACTAGCCTTTATAACAAACTGACAAAGTCATAAAAGATCTATTAACATTAGTGTTCTGGTTCTTCAGAAGGCTCTTCAGAAGATAACAATTATACTACTATTTCATTTTATTCGCAAATTATTATAAAAAAGTAAAATTTTCTTCGAAAAATTTTTTTAGTAGGTTTGCCAATTTCACTGTTGAATTTCGTAAATCTATGCTTAAAAATATTCTTTGGCAACACTACTTACGAACTAGCGACCTATATTTTCCACGGTCAAGTGGCGTGATGAATAAACATTCAAGTTTAAAGACAGTAATTATTTTAATATAGTTCGTTGGGTCTATAGAGGCTAAGTTTCTGTGGCAGGCTTGACTTTAGCCCCACTATTATATAAGTGCTTTCTTCTTTATTTTTCTTAACAAAGAATATCTTAAGATAATTAAAGTAATGCATAAACTGTTTTCAGAATCTGAATTTTCATTTCACATAAATAGATACAATTATGGTGACTTCATTGACTAAATACTGTTTAATTCGTTACCTAAATTTACATACTGATATTTATTATGACTATTACATGATGAAATTTTGTATATCAGATGTGTGTACGACGGTATTCTAGTAGCGATAACATTATATTACGTAATGTACTAATTTTCTTTTTCGAAATATTTTTTTGTGTGTGATGCCTCTAAATTTTGTTAGTCGTAAGTTTATTAATTTTATTTGTGGCTATACTAATTGCATCAGTGTTATGTGTAATATTTGATTTGCATACCAGAAAAACAAAAACATTAAGAAGATGTCATAATTAGATATCGAAATTGGGTGTTAAAAATTGTTGTGATTTATATTTGTATGATCTCTTTGTTGTGGTTGTTTTACCAATGTATCAGTGTGCCGAGCGTTGGCAAACTTTTATCAATAAAAAAAAATTACAAGAAATTATGACCAGAAATTTAGTTAAATATTATTTAAGCCCATATTACTGAGCATGTTACAGCACACACTTGTAATTTTGCGAAGCGCAGCTCATCTTTGTTAAGTGCTCTCGGACGAAGGTCATGAGTTCTGTTAGTGACTTTAACACGTATTAAAATTAAAAGCATAAAATTGCATAATTAGAATAACAGCCGTGCTTAGCCGCTCATTAAAAGCTAATAGTTATTAAAGTGATTCAGTAAATATTAAATTGGTTCACCATAATCTTTGAAGCTTACAAGAGTTTATCGCGCTTAGATTATTTTTTAAAAATCAGGTGTTGATTCTTTGTACAGTTTATCTAATTAGTTATAGTGTACCTAGAATAGTATGGACTAAATATACCTTCGCCGCTATAGGTTGGATGAAATAACTATATCAATTGTAATGACGTTGACTCCCTTCTACTGTTAAGTCAAAATCATTTGTCGAATGCAGGCAATTACGCGCAGCAACGCTCCAGTTGGTTCATAAGAAAGGGACCTTTGAAATGCCTAAAGGTAACCCTAAAGACCCTTAGACAGGCCTGTACTTACTAAAACTATTTTTCAGGTTCAATTGTATATTTAAATGTCAAATAATGTCTTATTTATATCTTTTATAGTGATAATGTATCACTTCTTATTTACTTCACGGAAACACCGTTTATACGGTTTAACTCCATACTTCCCGGAAACTATCAGCAACCATTTGTTGATACGCAATTTCAATACGATACTTACAATGAAATTATTGGACAATTCTGAATGCTGCTTTGGAAACTTGTGCTTTAGGGAATTTGCAAGTGGACAACGATGAATACCAGATTTCACCAGATATTGTGATTGCTTTATTTATTTGATTTATTAAACTAATTGGCTTGTCTCCATAGTTCACGGAACATCGATTTCAATAGTAAAAGTATTTCTCACGTAAATAAAGTATTTTTTGTGTCCTCTGTAGCTGTGTTACGCTACAAACAAAAGGTGTAGAAATTTATTTCCCGAGTAACTAAAACCATTTCTTATATTGTCTTATTTGACGGCTCATTGGTCTAGTGGTTAGTACCCCTGACTGCGAATCCATGGGTCCCGGGTTCGATCCCCGGCTGAGACAAACATCGATGTGATGAGCATTTGGTGTTGTGCTTAGGTCTTGGGTGTTTAAATATGTATTTAT